TCAATAAATGGCAGCAAGGTATCATGGAAGTTTTCAGGTGCATCAGTGTTTGTCTGTGACTTTATTTGAGCAGTCAAGTTTATTCATGAGTGCCAAACACCATCCATCATTTGAACAGATTATCATAAGATTATGTTTGGCACCCTTTTGACATACAGGAGTGGACATAAATATGACTTCCAATTCTTTTAAACTATTAATAAAGATAACCCATTTATATAAATGGATGAAATACTTTGTCCAGTAATGATCCTATTCCCCCCCCCCCAAAAAAAACCACCCACCCACTTTTTTTTAGCTTTTGAGCCAAAATATCCAAGATGTATGTGGGTACCAGAAATTTTGCATCTTTGCCCACAGTGCTTGTTGGCACTCTGATTAATGAATGAGATGGGAGTGAATTTCATGAATGGCAGAAGATATCAAACTACATGGTCAATTCCAGAGCTTTTTGTCAACTTCACATCTTACATGCCTGTTCTGAGGATATTTGGTGCTAGAAGAAGAATGGAACTGAGTTTGGAAAGGATCCATTTCCTACATTTAATAACAGTTCTTCAAACCCTTATGGCTTTCACATTCCTCAAAGGGAGACGAGGAAAAAGTAATTGGTATATCCTCAATCAGGGAATTTGGAGCAGAACAAGCTGACCTTTTAACGTTTTGTTTACCTGAATACCGTTGGTCCTCCATATCCACATATTCTGTATTCATAAATTCATGGCTTGAAAATAGTAACAGAAAAGCCGAAAAACAAACTTTGATTTTGTCATTTTGCATAAGGGACACCATTTCACTATGCCATTGAATATAATGGATCTTGAGTATCCACAGATTTTCATACCAAAGTGGGATACTGGAACAAACACGAGATACCAAGATCACATGGTCCCAAATTTTAGCTCCTATGCCACAATTTAGCCTTGCTTAGAGTAGGTCCTTGATCAAAAGCATTTCAGGCAATCATTGTTAAGTCTTTGATTTGGATGAGTCTATTGAGTATGTGGTACAGCGGGTTAAATCGCTGAGCTGCAGAACTTGCTGACCGAAAGGACAGAGGTTCAAATCCGTGGAGTGGGTTGAGCCTCATCGTCAGCCCCAACTTCTGCCAACCTAGCAGTTCGAAAACATGCAAATGTGAGTAGATCAATAGATACCGCTCAGGCAGGAAGGTAACAATGCTCCATGCAGTCATGCCGGCCATATTACCTAGGAAGTGTCTATGGACAATGCCGGCTTTTCGGCTTAGAAATGGAAATGGCCCCCGCTCCGAGTCGGACTTGACTAGACTTAATGTAAAGGGGAAACCTTTACCTATATTGGACCATGACACTTGACCTAAAACCTAGTAGCTAGTCTTAATTAGAGTAAACCCAATGAATCAATGGAAACTTGGTAACATCTGTGAATGGTTTAGCAGGTTTTTATGGCACAGAAGAACAATTTAGTAACAATATTAAATGGATAGCCATTCCCTCATTTTTAAGAACAACAAAAGCCAATAAATATTAGCAATGAAAAAGAAAAGCTACTGTAATGCATGTTCATAATTTTTTTTGCAGTAAAATCAATTATATTTAAAGAGATGTCCCCTTTAAAAAAAGACAACATTGTCCACATAGTAACAGAACCATTAAATTGTCATTTCTAAAGTCTCTTCTGAGATTTCCCTTCAAATGTACATAAAAATAAAAATTCATGAAAGTACTTCCCATTTTCCTGCATTGAATACGTAACAGGTTGCCTTGATTAATGTATTACTTTCCCCACTTATTTCCAGCTAGAGACAAGAACAAAGTAAGTGCGACCCCTAAACTACATGCAAGAACTAATGGCCCTTCCAGACAGGCCCTATATCCCAGGATGAGATTCCAGGTTTTCTGCTTTATGATGGATTATGAGTCTGCACTGCCAGATAATCTAGGATAAACAGAAAGCTTGGGGTCAGATCCTGGGATACAGGGTCTATCTGGAAGGGCCCTTAGAGAACAGAAATCTCAGCATAATTAAGAAGTACTGTGCTTTTTTAATGAAATAAAGTTAAGCTATCATGGTCTATATGTGAAAATCAGAAATCAGCATAAGAAGAATGCTACAATTATGTCTTGCTTCAGCTAATCAGAAGGCAAAACAGTGTTTGTGCATGTCTCCAGTTACCCTGTTTACTTCACAGTTTCAAGAAGAATCGGCATATCTCAGTCAATAAAACCTATGACAGTGAAACTCTTTTTTTTACAAAAGCTTTCTACATCCGCCCTGCTCTCTTTTCCTCATTGTTTTGAGATTTATTTTTTATTTTTTTTAAAAAAACAAACATCGGCACTTGAAGGTTGTTGGGGGTTTTGGCATGGGGTTGCAGAAATATGTCTGCAATAAACATTGGATAAATGTGTAACTGGGAAATAAAGGGACTTTATTTTAGCCAAGTCTACTGTTGCCATGTGTACAAGGTAAGAAGCAGCTACCTCAAGATCCCTTACTGAACAGGTAAAATGGGGAATAAAAGGAGAGCTGGGAAGTTTGCTTCATCAGATACTCTCAAATGTTTTTTAAGAATATGACTTGGATACCAAAATGGAAAACATAAGAAAAAAAAGCTGGTGAAAGAATGTAGCCTCTCAGTACTTCTTTTGGACAAAACTTTCAAATAGATCCTAGAAGATTCAAATGTTTTTGTTTATTTTTGAAAGGCTTACCTGACTCAACAATGCATACTGCTTTTTCTGAATCCATGTTGGAACAACTTTTTGGTGTAAGATTCTATCCTTGTTCTTTTCATGTTATTTCTTTCTGTGGCATCAAATTTTCTGTTAAGGGAGTAATGCCCAGAAATATATCTATCATATACTCATATATAAATTTACCTCATATATAAGTCAAGAGCTGGCTTTGGGAGCAAAGTTATGGATGAAGAGAATGAAAGAGAACTTTCATTCTCTTCAACTTACATTTTTGTTTACCAGCTCAGCAGGTACAGAAGTTTGAAGCTAAGGAGTAATCTTGCTGAATCTCTCCCTTGTAAAATACATCCACAAGGGAAACATGTCCAGACTTTTTCATTCGAAGTATGAAGATTCTGCAACTATCTCAGTGTATTACGCTCCCATGCAAAACATCCAGGGCTTGAAAAAGATATCTTGGACTACAACTCCCAGAATCCCTTTGCCAGCACAGCAAGTGGCTGGACTGATGGGGAATTCTAGACGTTAAGATCCAAAAATATGTTACTGGTGTATGTTTAAGTGCAAATCAAGAAGTTTCTTTTAATGCATACATTTGAAGAAACATGTCCTTTCCCTGAATTTAAACCCATTGTTTCTAGCCCTGTCATCACCTGATTATACATAAACAACTACCTTCTCCTTTTACTCTCCATGCATTCTTTAGAAACTCAAGAAAAAGGATTGCACAATAACGACATGAACGATCCACAAAGGATGGTCGTTCATATGGTATGTGGATTTTGAAACAAGTTTTTGGTTTTGATGAGAAGGGACCAAAAGCTTGAGTGCGTTTCATTCTGAGCTCATGTATGAATGAGTCTATATATCTGCCAAGAGAGTATTATACTAACACAGAATTGACAAAAATTAATCCCAACAAATCCTAATAGGACCCAAGTGATTAAGAAACTTAGCCTCCCAATTTGAATTCCTAAAATAAAGCCTGAGGCATGTAGTGTTTTTTCACAGAGCAGTGATATTTCTAGACTGACTTATAGCAGACAGTGCTGGCATCCTTCTCCCCTTGGAAACCAATGGGAGTATTAATATCTGCTATTAACACTGATCCTATCTCATAAATCCAGCCTGTCTGTTACCACAGAACTCAAATAAAGGTGTTCTGAGGTCAAGAGGATGTGGTGTCCAAATGAGGCTTGCTCTTCCAAGAGAAAAGAAGCGAAAACAATCTCTACAGCAAGCATCAGCTCCACATGGAGGGAACCCAAAAAGTGGGTTTTAAATGTCATGTTTTTCAAAGTGAGAATTGATGCTGGAACTAGTTCTAAAAACCGGCTGGCTGAGCCTGAGCTGCAGCTGAATATAATCAATCAAGCGGCTCTGAATGATCGAGGCGGCGAGTAAGCACTGAAGCAAAGGGGAAGTAAAAAAGGGGGAAAGGGGGCAGGTTACAAGCCATTCGGGGCCTTTTGAGATTACAACCCACTTTAGTGTTTTGTCTGGAGTTCGATGGTTCTGAATGGCTTCCAGTAGATAAATGCACAATACAGGAGTTACAAGTATGGATTGTGGGATGACAGCAGCTGTGTTATGGACATGCTGGATAATCACCTGATATGACTATTGCCAGATTTCCAAGCTGCTGCTGTGATCTGTACTTGGGACGACACAGGGCGTCCTAATACAATGGAGAAAAATCTGTGGTGCTAGAAACAGCATTTTCCTTCGACATCAAACTTTGGTAGTGCACTCTTGTGAAGAATGTGGAAGAACCAATTTCACCATTATGAAGAACAGGACATGGCAACAGTGGTTCTCAATCTGTGGGTCCCCAGGTGTTTTGGCTTACAACTCCCCGAAATCCCAGCCAGTTTACCAGATATTAGGATTTCTGGGAGTTGAAGGCCAAAACATCTGGGGACCCACAGATTGAGAACCACTGATCTCGAGGGCCCCAGTTGGGGAAGATATGCATATAGCATCTACACCAATGGTTCTCAACCTGTGGGTCCCCAGGTGTTTTGGCCTACAATTCCCAGAAATCCTAGCCAGTTTACCAGCTGTCAGGATTTCTGGGAGTTGAAGACCAAAACATCTGGGGACCCACAGGTTGAGAATTACTGTTCTAGGGAGTTCCATTAGGAAAACACAGTCTTGTTACCCAAAACACTCAGGGAAGAGTAGCTATGTCTCACAAAGCAAGAGATTCAGGCAAACTGTGATCACAAGAAGACAGTGAATTGGAGGTCAAAGTATGTGTTTGTCCAGATTCAGAGGCAGTTATAACCACACTGTAGGAAAATCAGTCAGTGAATTGGCCCCATGTGTTGCTGTTATTTTTAATCAAGACAAGGGGTACAACTTACATGCTTTCATTCTTGCTGACTCTAGTTCCTTGCTTGCTTTTCAGACTGACACTGTTTTACCTTATTCCAAAATAAGCAGACTTTCCACAGGTGACATCCAAAAATGGAAAACTTAAGTGGAAAGAAGGAGAACAAGGCAAATAATGGACATTTCTGTGACGTCTGCATGTCCAAGATACAACTAGTATACTGTTGACAATGTAAAATGTGCAACTCAAAACGGACACCCTCCTGTTAAATTATTTTACTCCTTTCTTAAAATCCATTTCTCCAAGATGCTCCTTTTAGTTTCATTTTCTTCCAGTGACTTTCCCACCAATGAAACAGGCTTAACCAATGCGAATTATTTCTTGATTATAAATGATGGGGTAATTGTTCCCATTACATGGCTAAAAAGTCAAATGGCTAATATTTGTTATGCTTTTGCACACTTCTTTACAAATATATATAAAAATGTCACTCTGATAATACCAGATCCCCTGGGATTATCCTTCTAGATCTCAATATCCACTGGTGATATGCAGATATAAGCCAAACCAAGGAGATAATTGTAACCACAAAAACTGCACATTTGCATTATTTTGACGCTCTTGCAAAAGCAGTATCATCTTGAGGCATCACCTAAAGAATAATACAGACATTATTGGGCTAATATATAAGCCAAACTCTTCTTTGAATTTAAATTTGTCCACCATTCCACATACATCATCTATATGGCCTTCTCATTTTTCTTTTCCCAGCAAAGCTCTATAAATACAAATCTCTGTAAGTTTTAGCTGTTGTGGCTTTCATTATTGTTCACCATTCAACTCTCACATTAAAAACAAAAAACCGAGATTCTATTAAAATCAAGCACTTAACATAAATATTAAAATAATGGTAAAGACAAAATATATCTCTACATAGAACTTCATAACTACTGTAGCACCTATTACCATAAACAAAAGCAAATCTGGATGGACAGGGAACAAAGTATGATATGCTGAGACGATGGTTTGAGAACTCTTTTGACTGTCCTCGGTGAACATGTTAAATGTGTTTGTATTTTTTCTTTTCTGTTTATAGTTGACAATCTTAATAAAATTCATTTCACTAACCAGTTCATTCTATGTCACTATGGATATCAAAGGACCCTTTAAAAGCCTCCAAGAGGAGGGTAAGTAGCATTTTACCAAAAAAGGGGGGAGAAGAAAAAGAAAAAAAAAATGAGTGGCAATGGCAGGTTCTCCTACTGGTTCTCATGTGCTGTTGCTCCGCCATGTGCCTGGCCTCCTAAACCCACCAGTCCATAAAAGGGGAAAATCATGTACAAGTCCATTTCTCAGTTTCCCAGGATGAGTTTGACAAAAGAAGCCACATCTGTCTCTTTGGATTCGTGCAGGGTGAAGAAACGGTGTTGCTAAAATGGGGTGGGGGTTGGATGAAAAAAAGAGAGAAGAGAATGCATGTTAAGTTTAATTTTGACCTGTTCTGTTGTACTTTATAGTTCCTTGTTCTGAGAATTTAAAAAATATGAATTCACAGGTATATAGACATCGCAGTACTTTCCCCCAGAGACTCATAAGAATACTATTTTAATTCACACAATGTTATCACAGCAAAATATAAATGTGCTCCTGGTCAGATGAAGACCAAGTGGAGATGATTTTTCTACAAATATGGTTATGCAAGTTTTTCAGGGCCATCAATAAAAAGGTCCAGCATTAAAAAAAAACCCTCACTGAGAATTACACATACAGGAATCAGTCACTGAACTGGATGTACTACATCAACAAAAGCATCTGTTATATACTCTGTGTGTATATGAGAAAAACAAGAACCTCTACTATGTGGCAAGTGCTTTTCATGTTATTCTCTCTCCCTTCTCGCCCTTCCTCTCTGGCATTATCATTGCTAATAAAGTCTACAAAGTAGGGCATTGATATGATTTTCCCATATAAAGGGAGCCAAGAGTCAAAAGGAATGATCTTCTCCAAGCCACAACAGCAAGTTCATCGGGTTCATGGCTGAGGAAGAACCATAAGCTACTTCACCCTGACAACATCCAACACACTCCTCCACCAAAAATAGATTGAAGCCAAGGGATCTTCTTTCATGAGGAAAGAAATGTGAAACTCTTCCAACTCGTCCAGAAACAATGATTCAGCCAACAGGCAAGCGAGCTTTGAATTTGAAGATGAGGTCTAGGTTGGAGGAAATGTAATTCCCACATGCAAAAGGCAGAAGAAAGAGATAAAACCAACCAAGCAGAGAAGTAAGGTAAAGACCAATGTGAGAAATGTCGAATCATGAAACCCCCTTTCAGAGTAATTTGGGAATGATTCATACACAGTTCTAGAAGTATACACACACCAAGACACACACAAACCTCCCTAGGATTGTATATGAATCATTCCCAAATCACATGGAAGTATTTCTACATTGTTGTGTATATGCACACTCTGTGTGTGCTATATTTGGGGAAGTTATACCCCATGCAAGGACATTGTGCCTTAAATCCAACTGTAATTCCCAATTAAAACAAACTGACTGAGTCAACAGAATTAACATAATAGCTGATATATTAAGTTCTCATTGAGTCAACAGATCTCCTCTAGTTAGAATTAACATTTAGGCATATGATTGGACAGGACTGTATGCAAACAGGCCCCATTTGTGCAAAAAAGACTTTTATACAATACTGCAGTTGCAGATCCTTATTCATCTGAACATCATATGTGCAGAAGGCATGTGGGTGTATATATAGTGGGTATGGGATGCAAATTCTGGACAATGAGTTAGACAGCTGAATGACAATGGCACAGTATTCCTACACGCAGGTTTAGGAAGCATGTTCCTTCACAGGACAATGATAGGAAAGGGGTATAACGTGGTTCTGTAAACCACCATGTTAACTACACATTACTGCTAACTGCCATTAAGGAAAATGCCTGCATTAACATTGTGCATTAACTAGATCCCTAGATGTAGCAATCATCATGTGTCACAGAATACAACAGCAATCAGTCACAACTGCTTGATCAAAAGGTGACCTAGTGAAGACGTATTTTCTACATACACTACAGTTTTAAGACCTCCCGTTAGTTGCTCATTTCACAATCATAGAGCATAATTTGCAGGTATGATTACTATATCTATCATGTGACTGAAGGCATTTGTATACATGATCTGTAAATCCGCAAAGAACTGTGTAACAACAAATTAGATGGGCCAATATTAAATGTTATAATCAAAAAGTGTTTAGTATTAATTTTTGGACATTCGTTTGAAGTACAGTGTCTTCTAGATAATGTACGTTTCTCTGAAACAATGGCCAGTGCCGTGTTCAATTGTTAGATACCAAAATCATTCTCTCATTACCAGTCATTGTACCAAAGATACAGCTGCATTAACAATGGGGTAAATTGAACATTCGCCACTCCTAAAATGCACCTAAAAGATACTACAATGAATGGGTTTTATTAACTACAACTTACTTAAGACATACTTCACTGGGCCTTAGTTTACTAGTCTTCTTATAGGGATGATTAATGTAGCCTATGGAAATTTTACGCATAAGCTATTAATACAATTCTGATCCTGCAGGCTGCACTATTGCAAAAAGGGACAATTTCTATCCCTGCCGCCAGTTGCTGATTAAATAGTTGACTAGATCATTTGTAAGAGATTTTCCAACCTTGATGCCTAGGGTCCTCTGATCCCAAATCAAACTGCAATCACTAATCCTAGACAAAAACCTGATTATAGCTGGGTGAAACATGAGGATGTGTACAAAGAAGCTATTCTTAAACTTTCCAACTTGGAAATTATTTCCAGTTCGACAACTGAAAAGTTGCTTTTTGACAGCCTTGGAAGCCACTTGCTCCAAAGCTGTGGTCGGCTACTACCTTCATATCTTGCTCAGAACTTGGAAAAGGTTATATCTTTGGACTATATACACCAGAACTCCAAAGCCAACATTGGTATTTCTGGTAAATGCAGTCCAAAGCCAGGGGCTTTCCACAGACATTTGGTCAGTCAATGTGGGAGGATAATTTTGGTCTAGATAGGCTTGACAGAACACTGGAATAGGATGCCCAATCTGTTGATGTTGTTGACAGGCTTATAACTACGGTCCTCACCCCCCCTCCCCATTTTTAACAAATCAATACCCTCTTTTTAAAAAAACGGTATCTCCAGAAGGCATGTTTGCAATTAATGATACCATTACAGGGAACTCCCCGGAAAAAACTCTCAAGGAAGCCTAGAGTTCACCAGGACACATTTTGTAAACTACGTCAATAGTAGAAGGGAGACTTCAAATAAGAAAATGAGCTCTCTTTGTGCCTGAAACATCATCTCATTTTCCGTTTGAAACTTTAGCTTCACAGGAAAACAAGGAAGCAGCCCCAGCCTAAAAAGTCAAGCCTATTCCAGCACCACAGTGTCTACTGCCATGGGAAAGTGAAAAAAGGGAGAAAAATCCAAACCACAGGACCTTACAACACTAATGTCAGCCATAAAATACCACAATGCTGAGATATATCTGAAAGCTGATCCAACATCCTAATTTAATAGAAATGGCACAGGGCTGCCAACCAGAGCCCTGGCCGAAGTACACACATTTCCTGATGAACCTTGTGTGTACTAAAATCCACTTTTTTCATGGCAGGAGCGACTTGAGAAACTGCAAGTCGCTCGAACTGCTGACCTTTCCTGCCAGCACAAGGGTTTAACTCATTGTGCCACTGGGGGATCCTAGCCACATGGTCAAACCTTGCTATATGGTTTGAAGAGGGCTGGTCAGAAGCATGAAGAGATATTTTATGTATGTGTAGAGAGAACCTTTTTAAAAACAAGACTATTCAGCCAGACCTTCCCTTGTTTCCAAAGATGGTAAAAAATGCTGCATCTTTATAACCACATTATATATTTTTTGCTTCTGCAGAAATGCCATTATTTAACATGTTACTATTATTTTTTGAGCTTTAGCTTATTTTTCTGAGTTATCCCCTTAGGAACATAATGAAGCAGGTTTTGGAGAACCTCACAGCCATTTCACCTTTTGAAGGTTATGTCTAGCAAGTAAAAGAATGAACAAGGGAGGGGAAAAGAGGACGCTGCTATCTCTGTTTGTCTATGAGCCCTTTCAAGATGTGAGCAGGATATGGTGGCAGAGATTAGAAGTTTTGGGGAAGAGCTGGGAGGAAAGTTCTAAGGAAAGAACATGGAAAGGAAAAACCATGTTCTGAGGGATCTTGAAGTTCACCATGAGCTCTCCAATGGAAATATCAACAGCAGTAGACATACTCTCCTGAAAACTTAGCCTGCTCATTGCAGCCCATCTTCTCTATTATTCTGTCTCAATGGGATGGATGCATGAAGTGGTGGCAGAAGTCAGAAGAATTAGCCAGTAATAAGAGCAAGTGTTAGCTTTTCTACAGCACATGACTGAAAAAATTTCATATGGAGTCTACACTAGGTAATCCTGTTTTATTAGCCCTCCTCTAAAGACAGGAGGGAAAGCAATCAACTGAGAAACACTAGCCTAAGGCCAGTTTGTGAATTCGGAGCAGAAATATCAATCAAGTGGGAGAACTGAAAACGTTTTATACTATATTAAGGAGCAATGTTCCATAAGATTTGTCAATATAACACAAAAATTGACTACATAACTTCATAAAATTTGGCACTGAACACAAGGTCAGAGGTTCATGTGTGGCCACTCTGGAAGGGGCTTGTGCGTGAGTCCACCCAGCCATCAATCTACCCCAGATCCGCTTGTGTTACCCAAGAACACCATCTAAATAAACTCACCATTAACTCAGAGTATGTTGGCCTTTCTTTGGAATTCTTCTTCAAGCTTTAAAGAAAAGGGAAAATATTACATCTTTCTATATGTATTCTGTACAGGCATCAGGCAAATAATCACACTAAATACAATAGAAGATCTCTTTTAAAAGCAGTGTGGTGTACTCACTCAACACTGAACACACCCAGTCACGGTCACATAAACAAGAAATACCAGCAGTTCAATCAAGGCTGTTTTGGAAAATTCCAAATAATATTTCCTGGATCTCATTGTTATCAAACTAAAGGCAAGAAATACTGTGTGCCTTTTATCATATTTACATCGACGAAGAACCTAATTTGCTGAATTTGAGAAAATTATGTAAACACAGTAAGAACATCTCCTCCTTGGAAGTTGTTTTATTGTTATTTTAATTTGGAATCAGTTGTTAACTCTGTGTTTTTAAATTGTTAGTGATGTTAGGGATATATCAAAAAAAGTGGTAACAAAACTAAAAGGATCAATATGTTATCAGGGCTGTAAGTAGCCAAAACCAGCCACATATATGAAATGGTTGAGCATGCCATCATTTCCTAGATTTTTTTAAAAAAAAACCTTAGTCAATTTGAAACAACCTGAATGAACATAGATGGCAGCTCACTAGCCCTGTCTACCTCTACCCCCAGTTCCACTACTGTCCTAACAAGTTTGAATGATAAGAGTTTCTGCTACATATGAAAAGTTTTCAGATGATTGTGGCCTGTAATTTTTTTTTTAAAAAAAGGTTTTGCTATTAATCACATAGATACTATCCACAAATAGGGGTACCTTAAAGTCACTTCCAAGTTATGGCAATAATAAGGCAACCATAGCGCAAGATTTTCTAGGGATGTGGGTGCGTGGCTTGCCTACAGTTGCCCAAAGGGTTTCCATGGCCAAGCAGGGAATTAAACCCTCATCTACGGAGTCTTAATGCAATGCTCAAGCCACTACACCTTGGAGAAGCTCTATTTTTTTTCCAGATTTGCCACTTTCCTTATAAGCAGAGCAAAAGAACCAGAGACAAAGGCTCGGTGCAACTACTGCACTTCTCTCCTTATGTGTTGATTCAACATGCTTCCAAAAGGAGTGAGTTCCACGTGACTGACCATCCAGGCTATCAATGCCCCATAACGTACAAAAACCGAGACAATGAATTTTAAGCAAACTTGTATTATGAAACATGAAAAATATAATGCAGCATTAGCATACATTTCTCTTAATGATTATAGTTGTATAAATATAAATTAATAATTGATTGACAACAACATACCTAATATACCTTATACAACGAGAAGACAGAAGAAGGAATTAATCAGTAGCAGAGGCAGAAGTGGAAACATTCTAGATATGTACCACACATAGCCCTCTCAGGTCTCTACTTTTCTTTCAACATGGGGAATGATTGGGATGAACTGCAGCTTTCAATATTGAAAACAAATTCACTGAATTCCAATGGATATATTTCCTAATACTTCCTATAGATCATATTTTAAATGTGAGGATATCCTCATGCAACTACCAGGGTGTGGAGGATCAGTTATTGCCTCTGCCTCTGAGTTTACACTTGCAATGACCATATCTCACAGGGGAAACTGGTAAGTGTTGGTAGCAACACCAACAACTCTTATCTTAATCACCCAAGGTTCCAACTAGCATTGAAATAAATGTACATATAGATGACCTAGGCACTTCTCTATGCAAGGATCCAAAAATGTGGCCCACTGAGATAAATGCTTAACAACGTGGTCTTGTTCTCCAGTATCTAACTCTAAATGCTACTTACTGGATCCCTTTGTACATACAATGTGTGTTAAGCCTACAGTCTAAATCAGGCACGGGCAAACTTCAGACTTCAAACTTTGGACTTCAACTCCCACAATTCCTAACAGCCTACTGGCAGTTAGGAATTGTGGGAACTGAAGTCCAAAACACCTGGAGGGCCAACGTTTACCCATGCCTTGTCTAAATAGTTGGTCCTTCACATCCATGAATTTTGCTTCCATGAATTTTCACAGCTTGAAAATGTTTACATTCAAAAAGCAAACCTTGCTTGTGTATTTTGATATAAGGGATGCAACTTTATTATGTTACTGTATATAAAGAAATTTAAGCATCTACAGATTTTAGTATCAACAAGGAGATCTTGGAACCAAACTCTAATGGAGACCAAGGACCCAGTGTATATATGAAGCAAAATCACTGCCAAATCACAGTAACTGCAGTCTGTGAGAGATTGGAAGAATGTTCTTTAGCTCTTGAACCACACTTCAATTACAAGGATAAACACCAGGAAAAGAGAAACCAGTATTAAATGAATATAGGTTTGTAGTGTAGACCCAGCCCTCTACAATCCTCCATGAGCAGATACATCCAGCATTCATGTACTGACTCTGAAAACAAATATGAGTTGTTTCATCTTTCTTTCACTTCTGAATTCACACAACATACAATTGGAATTATTTATCATCATATCTGCAAATAATTTTATTGCAATGGGTTGCTGGGGCAAAAAAAGTTTGTCACTGGCCAGAGCGCTAAAAGGGTGGGGGTGGGGGGATGAATGGTTTAAAGATCCTTTATTTTAGTCTCCCTCCTGCAGAAAATAGCTTTGAAGACAGGATGTAATAGCCACTCTCTTCCTGGCAGAGTATTTATGGGGAAGATTATTGGAGAGACTTGAAAAAGATCTTGACACGTACACAAGCTTTGGCAGAGAAGGGAAGGAGGTGTAAAGCGTCACACTGGGAGAAACAAAAGTGCTATCATCAGTTTACTATAACTGCTGGGATTTGCCAAATCTGAAAGGAAGTGCAGGATGCTTACTGGAGGGATATTTCCTGCCCATCTCTTGCTTCATCATCACAGAGATCAGGTTTACAAAAACTCTTATGCTGTGTAATAACAAAGATCAAGAGTTCCTTTCCTCCCTCTTCGAGAGACCATCTTCAAAACCCAATACTTTTTATGTTAATGATTTACTGGAACTTATTTGTGTCGGTTTTCTTTCTAGCCACTTGTAAACCAGAAAGTTGTGCAATTCCTGTTGTTGTAATATACCTTATTTCCGACATACAGTGACCTACCATGGGGCTTGTGGGCAAGAATTTGTTCAAAGGGAACTTGTCTTTGCCTTCCTCTGAGGCAAAGATGATGATGATATACTTTATTTATATTGTGCCCAATCTCCCCGAGGGGACTCAGGGTACAAATATGCACCAAACAATTAACAATGATAGACAGCACATAAAACAGAGGTAAAGACTTCCCATCTTTATCCATCTCTAGAATCTGGAGGCTGTGCTCAACTCTGGCCACAGGCTTGCGTTTGTGTGTGTGCATGTGTTTGTGTGTGCTGTCACTCCATCTTCCATGCCAAGGAGCTTTGTTGTCTTTAGACGTTCTCTTGACATGTCCGCATGGGCGCCTTTTATTACCTCCCCGCCAAAGCGGTACCTATTTATCCACTCACATTACTGTTTTCAAACTGCTAGGTGAACAGAAGTTGTGCTGATGGTTGGGAACTTACCCCAACCTGGACTTGAACTGTCAACTTTTTGATCAGGAAGATTTTCTGCAGCTGGTGGTTTAACCCACTGTGCTAAAGCCCGGCCCAAGAGAGAGTGTGACTTGCCCAACATCATCCAGTGGGTTTCCATGGTTGAGCAAAGATTTGAGCCCTCATCTCCAGAATAGTAGCTCAACCATTACACTACATTGGCTAAGACAAAAATAATATTCCTAAATTATTCTAAAAACTTTCAAAGTAACAATGGGAATATCACCAGGTGCTGCTGAACAAGTAAGTAATGTAGGCTCCATTTTAACATGAGTAGGAGGCCTGATTCTTTAAGTAGCCTTCAGAGTGCAAAGTGCCTCACTGTTGTATCACAGCAGTCTTTTGCTTTATATAGCATTCTATTTATTTTACAGCATAAGCTAAGGCTGAATTTGTCCCCTTTGTCTTTCCAATATACCTGGGCATGTTGCCCAAGAGAAATAAGGGCTAGAGTTCTGACACATTCCATTATTTCCTACAAAGACCAGTTGGGGGTCAGCATGACATTTCCTGAAAGCCAAAGGAAACTATCCTTGAAGAAAGTTCACTCACACACACGTGTCTCAGCTCAGGAAGGAGGCTGCGGAAGTAGAGCCAGCTGACGTAAAGGACCGGCTTACATACGTGCCTTTCCCATGCCCCTTGGGAGATCTGGCCTGTTTTCAAAACAATGGAGCGACTTCCCCAAGCAAGGCTTGTGCCCATAGCTTAACGGCCATAAGTAGGGATGGGAAAAATGAACTGCATAATCTCAATGAATGTCATATTTTCACACTTCCCCAAATTTACTGAGAGGAAATACACTCCTCATCTTGAACAAGTTTTAAAGGGAGCTGCTATGAAATAAAGCAAAGCAACATCCGTGTTTTAAAGTGTGAATGACTAAAGTGAGTATAACTGAAAAATATGCACCAACCAACTTCAGTCAGTGGGGAAAATGCTTATATGACGTGAATTGGGAAAATATGCATGCAAATTAGGGAACAAGATCATTTTACATTGTGTACAGATTTCAGTGTGGAAAATAATACAAAATCCCACCATCTGATATGAAAGAAAGGCTGAAAGGAAATGCAAATGGGGGTTGGTGGGGACAAGAGACAGGGCCTTCTCAGTGGTGTCCCCTCGGTTGTGGAACTCCCTCCCCAGCGAAATCAGATCAGCTCCTTCCCTCCCTGATAAAAGGGCACCTTTTATGCCCTGCAAGGGGATTGGGCTGGGTTACCACCCAAACTTTGGTGTTAAACTTGGGAAGTTTTCTGTTGGAGCCTGCGCAGGCGCAGATACTCCACATGTGTGCATCCATAGAGTTCACGAAGAATAAATAAATAAATAAATGGATTCTGCAGGAGAAAAATGACACTAAGCCATGGGCAAGCAGGTTGCTGCAAAAATATCCTTCCACCCCAGGCAGGAATTAGGTGTAAAATGTTAAGTGTTCTCTGAAAACACTTCATATGCAGTTTCTATTTTACTCCTTAAAATCGGAAGGAAGGCAAGGACAAGAGTTAGTACCATTCCCCCAATTCTTCAAAGTTGTTACCTACTAATCTGATCTCTAGGACGATTGTTTTGCCATTCACAACTCCCACTGCAACACGAGACAGTTCTCAAGAGCACAATAATTTGTCACTGCCTTAGCAAAAAATTCCCACTAGGAGACGCTGTCACTCCAAACAGACATAATACATTCATTTTTGCCCTCTGGGTGTTTCCAATTTTCCACAAAGCACTCACACCCTGGGGGCACTGCATGCTTTTTGTCTTAACCCAGGGCTCAATGAATTCAAAGTATGTTATTTCAAAAGAACAACACAAATTGTTAAGCTTCTGCAGGGAAGAACTATACAAAACACTTAACAATGTGCATTCAACACTAAGTGAAATATATGGGAAAGCTTAGAGGAAAAGCACATAGGTAAGTTAATCCTAGCACAGATCCAGTACAAAAACACTTTGGTCTCAAACTTTGTAAAATAAACTTTTTCAAAACGATTGCTTCCAGAACTTTACTAGAGCAAGATCAAGCCCTTCTAAATGAGAAAAGAAAGTCAAAACAGGTTGGAGACTTAGGAAAGAGCCTTCTCAGTGTCCGCTTCTCGACTGTGGAATACTCCTCCATGGAAGACTCCAACCCCTTCTACATTGCCATACAATTCAGATTATCAAAGTAAATAATCCGCATTATCTGATTTGAACTAGATTATGTGAGTCTACACTGCCAAAGCAGATAATTTGGATTTTATATGGCAGTGTAGAAGAGGCCTCCATTGCTCCCCAACTCTTTTCCTTCCTCACTGTTCTCTTTTCATCAGAGACAAAGAACTTTTTTATTTCAAAAGGTCTTTATCTTTCAACTGGTTGTGCAGATGTCCTTTATCAGGGCAAAAAGATTTCTTAAGAGCCAATCCAGATGACCCCATGTGGGGACTTTTTATGTTTTGAATCATTGATCTTAATATTTAAAAAATCTCTGATTTTAATGTTTTAATGCTTTGTACTCCTGGTCTGTTACTGTCACAATAAAATTCATTTATTCATTCTGGACAAAGTCCACCATCAGTGTACAAAATGGGTGAATCTGTTCAGGGTTTTAGTTCAAACTATCCAAGGTGATGATATCCCTTAAACAGGTTCAAAACTTTGGGCATCCCTTTAAACATTCTGACTAAAACTCATAATAGATCCATGGCTGTCCTGACAATAGAATCAGCACCCCCCCCCTCCCCGCAATATCGATATCTATCTATCTATACCTATATCTATCTCACATGTCAGAACTCCATGATGTAAACAGCAGGTTGGAGTCCTGATAAAAGAGATATTGCAATGAACTTTGCAGCATCCAAAGCACTGGTTGCACCCGTATTCTGTTTGCTGCCTGAGAAAAAGCAGTCAGACAGGGTTTTTTACAGAGTCCTAGATACAGTAGGATAAGACCCATCTGGTATGTAACCTTCCAGATAAACCATCTACACAAAGCCCAGCATGCTCTGGGAGATTTAATGTGTTGGGAGAAAAAGCGCTTACCACTGTGAGGTAAAATCAACAAACTCTGGTGAGAAGTTTGCTGGGAGTTGCGGTGATGGCTCTTCCACTACTTGTTTCAGCTGCTGGAATGGCGTCCCCCAGGAGTCATATGGAAACCGCAAGATTGCCAGTTCAATCTGTATGTGGGAAAGAGATTGCATGGCATCAGTACTACTCTTTTAGGTTTATTACTGCTATAATCATTAATACTGGAGCCCCCAGGGGCGTAGTGGGTTAAACCCCTGTGCCGGCAGGACTGAAGACCGACAGGTCGCAGGTTCGAATCCGGAGAGAGGCGGATGAGCTCCCTCTATCAGCTCCAGCTCCTCATGCGGGAACATGAGAGAAGCCTCCCACAAGGATGATTTAAAAAACCCATCAAAATCATCCAGGCGTCCCCTGGGCAACGTCCTTGCAGACAGCCAATTCTCTCACACCAGAAGCGACTTGCTCCTGACACGACCCAAAAAAATCATTAATACTAATCTGTATATCACTAATAGTATTAATGATGTATGTCTGATCACAAAGGTTCTTACATGGCTTGATGGACCAAATCTGATACACATACCATCATGATCCAACTTAGAATACTGACTGGGTTTGGGTGGAAGTGCTGGTAGAGAAAGTTGGAGTCCACCCAGATTCAGAGAGCTGAATTATTCTCATCCACAACTGAAGGCATGGCTGTCAGTCTACTTGTCATGCTGTATCATCCTTACCCCTTTGTGAAGCAGGCTGTGGATGATGGGAGTTGAATACCAACATGCAGTCTGACCCATCTGAACAGTTAAAAGGAGAATCACAAGTTCCAGCCCAGCCAGATCTTGGGCAGTTGGGAGCTGCAGACAACCAGACCTGGAGCTGATGGGCGCTGTAGCCTGACCTTATAATATTGGGATATAACCTGTTTATATCAGTATGCATCCCATATTTTCTAAGGACTGGATGCATACTATATTGAGAAGGGATGCATACTCTCCTCATCACGCCTGATTATTACGATTCTTATGATGTGAAAATACTGCATTTTAATGGAAGGCTGGCTCCTCCCAATCCATTCAAAACACCCCCTACATCACTCTATGGTCTTTAAAAAAATATCGTTACTGATGAGATGCATACAGATTTTCCTATCACACACAAATACAGCGCTTCAGCAATGGAAGAATCTGTAGTATTTCAAAAAACACGATTAGAGTTCAGTCTGCAAATAATCCATTTCTGCAAGGCTTTGCAGACCAATTCCGAAGGAATACTGACAGGATGGGACAAGCGTCACGTGATGGCACCCGTTTGAAATCATTCTCAAACAGTCTCAGAAACAGAGTATTTCCTAATGTGATAAACTCCCAGATCTTGGGCTGATAAGCATTGCAGCCCATCAGCTGTACGATATTATAAAAGGTCCCATTGTAAGAATATGCATTTTCTAATGGGACTATTCATAAAATCTAAAAGTAAAGAGTGAGTATTTCTAATAAATAACAGCATTACAAAGGGGATATCTAAAACATTTTTCTCAAAAAGAACGCTCCATGTTCCCCATAATGTTGGCATATGCTGCCACCTGCAGACAAGCCTATGAAATCACACTAACTTTTCAGTTTTTGGCCCTCAAGCTTCACTGTGTAGTTCCCGCCCTGCCACCTTTTGACTCCCTCTCCCTCCTCCCTTCCATTCCTCTTTGGAAATGCTTGGCTCTCTGGGTGCCTCTAAGGCACAGCATGTACAGGTCCCTGGAGACAGCCTGTCTCTGGGAATATTTAAAAACAGCAGCCTATGAGGCCAGTTTTGCTGGTTTGGGCCATGTACCCATCAGACTCCTTGGAGACCGCCGAGTGCCAAGGGAGGCCACACAACACACTCTCATTCTCTCGCTCTTTCTCGGAGACTCTCCCCACACCCAACCCATGAAGAATGTTGCAAGAAGAAGGGACTACCCATTCCCTAGAGAAAGAGACGGACTTGCCAACAGAAACTTTTCAGTTTGTTTTGAACACAAATTCTGCACTGCAGGCAAGCTAAAGATGTGTATTCTGGTAATGTGCACACTTACTGGTCAAAGATGTGTAATGTGCACCCTTCCAGAGAAAATGTAAAGGTTTTCCCTAACATTAAATCTAGTTGTGTCCAACTCTGAGGGGTGGTGCTCATCTCCATTCTAGGCCGAAGAGCCGGCGTTGTCTGTAGACACCTCCAAGGTCTTGTGGCCAGCATGACTGCATGGCACACCATTATCTTCCCACAGAAGTGGTACCTATTGATCTACTCACATTTGCATATTTTCAAACTGTTACGATTGGCAGAAGCTCGGCCTAACTCACCCTGCTCCCCGGATTCGAACCGCTAACCTTTCAGTCAGCAAGTTCAACGGCTCAGCAGTTTAACCTGCTGTGTCACCAGGCGGCCCCTATCCTTCCAGATACTGTTAGATTAAAACTCGCATCATGCCTTGCCATTTACAGTTGACTTGGGCCGATAGGAACAGCAGTCTGAAAAAAAAAATCTGAACTGCTACTTGTCTCTTGTTCTTGGGGTCGAGGAATGTTGAAGATGCACTCATGTAAACAATTACATTCTCACAACCTGTGACAGAGCCAGCAGCCCATTTAAACTGAATGCAAATTCCAGTATTGCCCACAATCCCCTGCAATACACCGGCATCAGTTCATGAGTGGAAAAATTCTGAGAACCCAAGTACGCTATATATGCTGTCAACAAAAAGCAATGCTTAAATATGACCCTCCTCTCTCCATCCCCACGTACATAATGCAACCAACTAGACCATTGGCCAGAATCAACTAGTGGAAAGTTAAGCCACCGTGACCCTTCAAATGGTTTTGGCCAATAGAGGCAGAAGTCAGGTGCTCTGCCAAAGGACATCATTTCAGACAGATCTCCTAAAAACCCAGCCTCCAACCAACAGAGCCCTCTACAAAAGTTGCCTTTTTCTCACAGCAGGAATGTAAGAGAATACCTCTTCAAGAATGATCTGTCATGGCCTTTGAAGCCTTGATTTGTCTTCTTGAGTGGCTTTCCCTATGAATTTTAACCTCCAACTGTATTTTCATGCACGTGCATCAATTTAGGGTCATCCTCCTAATCTGCAATGAACTGAGTAGAATGTTTTCATTCTCCCACCAGTATGTGAACCTCAACGTCCACCCAGTAGAAGTTAGTGGCTTTCATGGCAGAAAGACACAGATTTTGGTCCACATTTTAGATTTAGTCAGAACGGAACTATCCAAGGTATTGAATCCTACCCTCAAATTGGGGTTCTCAAAATATATCCTTTTTCTGAGATACCTTTCATCCTTCAGTGCCTCTGGCCTCAATCTCTACAACTTAGACTGAAAATAGTGGATAGCATGTAGAAATAGCAAGTCTATATGTTTTAACTTAAGCAACTGATAATAATATGTAAATGTCAGAATTAACTGGTTGATTGACTAATGCAAATACTTTTAATTGTACCAGGAAACTAGCCAGTAGCCAGTAAAGCTGTTTTATCAAGGGATCTATGTGCTCCCTACAACTAGGCTAAGTCAGAATTCTTGCTGCAGAATTTGGACCCATTGAAGTTTCAGGACAGTTTCCAAAGACAGGCCACACAGGGTATGTTACAGAAGTCTAAATAGGATATAATCAAACCATGTGTTACTGTAGCTAAATATGACATCTACCACACTAGTTTTAGCTGAGAAACTGCCCACAGCTGAAACATGAGCATCCTGGTCCACACTTTGACTGGAAGACAACACACAAGCTATAAGCCAGAGAAAATATGATTATATTGTTAATTATAATGTACTGTCACTATTATTCAATTTATTTATATTCTTCCTTTTCCAAAAAACGGAGGTTCTAGATGAGCTGCTGCAAAGCTTCAAAGATCCCTTGAATGAGTGTAGGCCTCTTCCACACATCTGTATAAAATCCTCATTGAACTGGATTATACAGCAGTGTGGACTCAGATAATCCAATTCAAAGCAGATATTGTGGATCATCTGCCTTGATATTCTGGGTTATATGGCTGTGTGAAAGGGCCCTTAGAAGATGTGAAAGCCTGGATACAGCACCTTTCATCCAGGAGCAGTCTCAGTTTATTAGAATTAAAAATGTGAAGCCTGTATCAAGGGTACTTTACTAGATCATTCTGGATGCTTCCACATAAATAAATCCTGCCTCAATATTTAACACATTCTTACAAAGTGCACTAAATCTACTCCTGACTTCTGTGAGACATGGAGAGACATAGACAACTCCAACGGAGCTATGAATTTTTTTCATCTCTTTGTGATAATTTCCAACTGTCTATAACTCAATAAGAGGATCAAAAAGGACACTGAGGAGCTGATTCACTTGATATTGAGATTCCTCTTTATTTTCACAAAATGTTCTGCACTTGATATTTTTTGCTAAATTTGAGGCTCATCACTTTGTCAAAACAACCTTAAACCTAGAATTTTGAACTGTTAGACTGTTTAAATTGATTTAACATTTTATTGTGTTTATATTTTATTTATTTGATTATTGAAATTGTTTTCCGCTGTTTTAATGTATCTATTTTAATTTTACCTGTAAGACAAATTCTGAGATATTTTGATACAAGGTGGGATAGGAATATTTTAATAAAGAAATTAAGTAAGTTTAAAACTAAAAGCTCTGATTTGCTTAAAATTTAATTTGGATGGTTCCAGTCTGAAACATATTTTCTGTTTTAGATGTAGGACTCCTTTGTCTTCTCCATCCTCCAAAGCTGGCTTCAACAGATGCAGCAAAATCAGCCGTCAAGTGTACTAGAGTGACATGTTCTTACCATTGTGATGCCAAGGCTCCAGATATCAGATTTGACATTGTATCCCTTTTGGTTTAGTTCTGGGTTGATTCTTTCAGGCTAGACAAAAAAAAGACAAATAGATTGATATGCAGTTGCTTCTCTTCTAAAATTCTTCCTTTGCGATCCAAGGAAGAGAAGAAGGTCTCAGCTGTTGCAAGCATGTAGTGAAATTAAGCACAGCTCTCATCAGTGGTATTATCAGGTTTTGGAGAGACTCCAAGGAGATAAACTTCAAGAATGTCTTTCTATGTGCCCTGTTGCCTTAACCCAGTTTTTTCAAAAGAGGATGTGTTTGATTAATTTTTAACATCATGATGGGAGACAACAGAGACACAGTGGCTGTTTGGATAATATGGACAGCAGCCATTTTGGATTGAACAGGTCAAAATTAGTCAAGAAGTGATGCTTTCAGGAGTTAGTTGACTACAGGCATGAGGAGATTCCCCATTTTAAGAGTTGGGAGGACTTTGTCCCATCACATTTAATACATACTCATAAAGGTAAAGCTTTCCCCTGACATTAAGTCTAATCGTGTCTGACTCTGCGGTGTGGTGCTCATCTCAGTTTCTAAGGTGAAGAGTTGCATTGTCCGTAGACACCTCCTAGCTCACATGGCCAACATGACTGCATGGAGCCCAGTTACCTTCCCACCAAAGCGGTACCTATTGATCTACTCACATTTGCATGTTTTTTGAACAGCTAGGTTGGCAGAAGCTGGGGTGGACATTGAGAGCTCACACCGCTCCCCAGATTTGAACCACCAACCTTTCGGTCAGCAAGTTCAGCAGCTCAGCAGTTTAACTTGCTGCGCCACTAGGAGTCCCATACTATTCATACAGAACTAAAAAACTCTTCAGGGAAATGACATTTAATTGGTATCATCACTGGAGTATTTCAAGCTTTACAAAGTCATATCCCAAACTTGTAAATTATAACTTGTATCAATATCATTGGATGGAATTATTACGAAGCGATTAGACAGATTCTCAGTCTTATCTTATGCAGCCCTTGCTGCAACAGTCTCCTGGGCAGAAGTATGCGCTTTCCAGAGACAGTGATTTTTCCACTGTGATACCCGAGAACAGGACAGTGTCCTGACAAAATTATCCCATTTACTGCTGATGGCCAGCATTTTATTTTGATAACATGTGCTGAAAACAAAATTTAAAATCTTCTGCCCTGCTGCATTCCTGCTTTGGGGATTTATGCTGAGAGCGCACTGAAGGTTTCCCAGCTCTCTATACTTACTGCCATGTAAGGTTTGCAGCCAGCATCCATTGTTTTGGCCACCGAATCAACGAGGTAACCGCTAATTCCAAAATCACACATCTTCACCTGTCCCAGTGTATTGATCAATACATTAGAGGGCTTGACATCTACATGTGGGAGAGAAAAAAAACTGTCAGTCCTTGCTGTTTGCAGTGGGCTAAAGTTGAAAGTGACACCAACAGAAATTGGTTGTTTCCACCAGAGGGCACCAGCAGCAGAGATCCTGTTCTTGCTAATCCCAATAGACTCAAAAAAGGTAGGGAAACGATTTCTTCCTTCAGGCTCTAGACTAGAAAGAGAATGACCTGTTCTACCAAAATAATCAACCAAGTACAATAATAACTGATCATTGGATTCCCCAACCTCGCACTAGCCTATATTGATGTGTTGATTCCAATCAAAACCACTGGACAACTATGGGAATATATGATATCTCCTGGAGTCCTCTTCCTCTCCAGATTAAAACAAAATGCATCCTTCTTTCTTAATCATGTTAAGCACTAGAGATGAGTCACACTGACATTGTGATGGTGAAGGATGCCCAGAGATTCCTAGAATAACAGGAACTGTGGTTAGCACCAAGGCAAGGAATTTGCTGGAGGCAGAGAAGGAGCAGTGGAGATTTGCATACATTCCCATTGCTGACTTGTGATTTGTTAATGGCAGAGTGAAGAATGTTGGCATAATATCTGCGCCAAGTCCAGCATCAATGTTCTCTCTACTTTGAACAGACAGAAACTTTTTACTGCAGCTAGAGGCACCAAAAGAGCTTCCTGTGAAAGTCAGTAAAGGAAGTCTCCTAGAGTGTGACATATCACAGCAAGTAGCATATAAGTTCCCTAACAATATGTAGCATATATGTTCAAAGTACATATAGTAATTTGGGCGGACAATTAGGAGAGCACACAGCACCTTGCCCTGATACTAGGTTATCTTCCCTCCGGAGCCCCAGGTGGCGCAGACGACCAATTCTCTCACACCAGAAGCGACTTGCAGTTTTTCAAGTTGCTCCTGACATGAAAAAAAGCACCACTACTGTAACCCCTGCCCCTTGAACCTCACTGTTTCAGGGGATTTCCTGGACTCTCTGGTGAAATTTCCTATGCAATGCAAAGGGGGGGGGGGGGAAGAAAAGTTGAGAAAGAGATACACGTTGAGCATTCATTATCCAAATTGCTTAGCATCAAGATTGTTCAGGATTCCCCCTCCCCCCGCCCCCAGATTTTTCAAAGTTTTCATATGTATAATGAGATGTCTTGGAGATGAGATGCAAGCCAAAACAATAATACATTTGTTTTTCAAAAAATAGAGATTATACACTTACACTATGTTTTTAATATAATTCTTACAAGTTTTTGGTAGAAAAAGAAATGAAATGAATAATTAATTATCTCACCCACCCATGTGGACACCAGTGGATTTTGGAACATCTTGGATTGTAGAATTCTTGATAAAGAATGCTCAACCTGTATTGCACAAGTAGTTTTGTATTCACACACTTTTGGACGTAACTCATTGCACCTCAGTAGTTCTTACAACTAGAATAAAAATGCTGGTCATTTTTATTCTAGTTGTATCAGACATAGGGTCAATGTACTGAACCTATATGCTTACAAGAGGGATCAAAAGAATTTTCAGTAATATGTAAAAATAGATCAAAGACATGTTGCTTTCAAGAAACTCTGATGAGAAGAATCCTGGATTGGCAAGAATCTTTTTAACAGCAATTGACTGGTGAGAATGAACCATGAACTGACAGCAATTGACCGATGAGAATAAACCATAAATAGACATCAGAGTGGACTTTGATTTGGATTTTGATCTGGCGCTGTTTTAATGTTTCAATTTTAACATCTTATTTTTAATATTTTAATGTATATTTGTAATTCTGTTGTTCACCGAATTGTCAATTTGTTTTGTAATGTGATTGATGTTATTGTCGGCATCTAATGGCTGAGTCCCCCCTCGGAGGTTGAGAAAGACAAGATAGAAATGTTTGAAATAAATAAATAATTTCGGATTTATTCTGTGCATTTTCTGCACATGGTTGTTTTGTGAAGACAACATTTTCTGCATAGGAAACAATGCTTTCCATACAGAAAATTGTGTTTTCTGCATATAAGATCCCGGAGTTGGGGACTTCAGTGCCGAAATTCACTCTATGCAATACTAATTCACAGAAAATGTGCAACTATTATTTTTGAGTAAAGCAAGAGAGCCAGTTTGATGGTGGTTTAAGCACTGGACTTTGGAGACCAGGATTTTAATCCTTGCCAAGCAATGGAAATTCCCAGAGGAATACAATGGCAAATCCTTTGTGAACAAATATTGACAAGAAAACCCATGATAAGGTCGCCATTATGGTTTCCAGAAGCTGGAAATGACCTGAAGGCAAACAACAACAACAACAAAGTCCTGAATTTTGAGTTATCCTTGAAAACTGCATCTTTCAAAAATGTTCTTGCAGCAATAAGATAACTGTTAAAATCATTTGTCACCTGCTTCAAAAAGAAATTAGGAAAGAACTGAATTCCTACTTAGCATGACCAAAAATACATTTCTAGTATCAACCCTGATACTATCTATAAAACCACTCTCATGAGTTGTGCTTTTAAACAATATCCTTTGCATATGCTGGGGCATTGGTGTCTCTCTAAGCCAGTCATGGGCAAACTTTGGCCCTCCAGGTGTTTTGGACTTCAACTCCCACAATTCCTAACAGCTGGTAGGCTGTTAGGGATTGTGGGAGTTGATGTCCAAAACACCCGGAGGGTCACAATTTGCCCATGCCAGCTCTAAGCCCACAGCGATAAAATTTATGTAATTGTTGTTGCTGTTCTTCTGTGCCTTCAAGTCACTTTGAACTTATGATGATCCTAAGGTGAACATATCACAGAGTTTTCTTGGCACAATGTATTCAGAAGGCAGTTCACTTTGCCTTCCTCTAAGGCTGAGAGAATGTGACTTGCCCAGGGACACCCAGTGGGCTTTGGTGGCTGACAGGGATTCTAACTCTAGTCTCCAGTCATCGTCCATTGCCCACGCCAGAATACCACCACACTGGTTCTAAAATACTTTTGCAATTATTGAAACACAACTTTTTAATCTATCACTCTTTAATTGTCTTCAGAATCAAATACAGAAGGCAATACTGATCTCACTTACCTCTGTGAATTACAGAGAGCTTACTGTGCAGGTGCTCTAATGCTTTTACAATCTAGGAGGGAAAAAACAAGAGTGAATTTCATTGGCTGAGGCAGGGTTATTACACTCTTTTCCTTGGAGTCCAGGCCTCAAGTTCCTAATTTAACACTTAATTGGGGGTGGAGACAGTCTAGGCTGGGCATCCCAGCAATTAACAGGCAAGAGAGTGCTGAGCTTGCAGTCTGGCACCAGCGTGATTACAATGAATCATTTTTTCCTGGGCTCTGCCAGCCACACTTAATAATATGCTCAAATGATAAAGACTGATGTAAGGGTCATAATAATAATAAAAAACCTTTACACATCCATTATTTAGAAAATTGTGATGGCAAAATCCCAAGAAAGGTTGTCCCTCTCAATGCAAGTTATCTCTTTTCAACACACCGTAGTATCCTTTATAGAGAAAAGATCAGTAAAAAGTTCCTTATGATTATTTCCTACTATATCTCCACCTTTGGGTGAAAGGAGGAATTTAGACTTTTTTTAAAAAAAGCTTCACATGGGAAATAGGACCCACCTCTGCATGTATCTATCTGAAAAACTAGGCTCCATTAACTAGGCTGTGAATTGGAATATATCTGAAAATTTCATTCAATTCAATTCAAAAAATAAAATAAAATAAAATAAAAAGTTTTTTTTATTTGCTTGCATGTTTCTTTGTTTAAAATCTCAAACCATAAGGACACTTAAAACAGAAACCCTCAACCCTCACACCTATTCCTTTGTTATCTGTAAATCCCTATTCCTTTCAAAATGTCTATGAACAACACTATTCAACTCTGGCAAAAAGAATTGGGGGAAATAAATGGAGAGACAAATGAAGCTACAACATTCCAGTTTAAGGGTGCACTTCCAGTCTGGGGTGAGTCAGGTAATGCCCAAAGGAGACGGGCTGACTTATAGATGTGGACTCAAAGATGGAAAAAGGGTATCAGATCCCTTTTGGAGAAGGATGAAAACCAAGAGGCACTCACGGAAACAGCTATTTTTCCTAGGATATCTTCAGGAATCGTCAAGCCTTTGTCAATGACTTGTTTGTAGAACTTGTCCAGTGAAGTGTCCATGAGTTCCATGCAAATCCATACATCTCCCTAGAGAAATGCAATGGTAAACAACATGGGTTATAAAGTCACCTCATCACCAAAACTAAGAGAACTGCCATCCACAGGTTCCTTGTTCATTCTCCCTTCTTTCCTATATCTCTTCTACCACATACAGGGGCCTGGTATTCCACATGAAATCTGTACTATGGAAATATCTTGACTAGATCAACTAAAACAGATAATAGCATCTGCAGAAATGTTTAAGATTTCCAGATATGTTACATACAAAAGCTAAGGTGAAATGGAAAAGGGTGGAGGGATGGCTTCATCAACTATTTTTTTTTATCTTTTAAATTCACTGCATTAAATTTCAATTTTCTGTTTTCAAAATTCATAGGGTTGGAATGGACTGTACGACCGATCTAATCCACCTCCTGCCATTCAGTCATACTGCCAAAGTACCCCTTGAGATACAATCTGTTTAAAGATGACTAATGAATGAGAATTCACAATTGCCTGAAGCAGTCTATGTAACCGTCGAACAGCTCTTACTGTTAGAAAGATCTTTCTAATGCTTAGGTAGCACTTCGTTTCTTGCAAAATTCCTACAGTAGTTTTAAGAATACCTGGACAGTCATCTCTGCCATTTGTCAACATGAAAATAAAAAAAAGTTTTTTTCTCTCTTTTTAATAATTTAAATCACACTTCAAAATTAGTTGCCCTCTAACTACTGGCATTAGGCAAAATAACATATCAAAAATAACTGATGAAAGGAAACAGGTTTGCTAAGCAAAAGAGATTTCCAGAAAAGCTATGTGAAGGTCTGCCTGATACAATCCTCAACTAATAGTTCTTTCCATACCCACAAAACATTATTCTCCAGTTTTCTGATATTAAAGGTTGCCTTTACTATGTAGACTGTATTGTGAAAGGATACATTTTAGGAAGCAATGGGAAGAAGATATACTAGAAAAAGGGAAACCAGGAACAGGAGACAGGAGACAGAAAATGGTTTGCTAAATGAGAAAACGTACACTTCTTATTTCCAACCAGCTAACCCAAAAATCTCTCCCTCCAAAACTGGGAAGTTTAAAGAGTGTGTCCAAAGTAAGTCTTGGTCTTCAGGCTATTTATTTATTTTTGCAGACAGGAAGAGGGTCTGATCTTTAAGTCCTCTGGGAACAGAACCTTATTCCATTTCATTCTGTCACAACACACATTGTTTCAAACTGCATTATATGGTCAGTGTAGACCAGGCATGGGTAAGCTTCGGCCCTCTAGGTATTTTGGGCTTCAACTCATAAGAATTGAAGAATTGTTAAGAATTGTAGGAGCTGAAGTCCAAAACACCTGGGGGGGGGGGGGCTGAAGTTTTCCCGCGCCTGGTGTAGACTCATACAACACAGTTCAATACAGTTAATCTGCATTAATAATAATAATAATAAATCTCCATCATTAGATACATTGCTGGAATTGTGAACTGGACACAAACAGAGCTGGATGATCTGGACAGAAAAACAAGAAAACTGATGACAATCCACTACTCAATACACCTGCATAGTGATGTCGACAGACTTTACCTGCCCAAAAAAATTCAGGAGGCAGAGGGCTTCTGCGAGTAAAACAAACGGTAGAAGAAGACAAACATGCACTGGCAGATTATGTGAAAGGCAGTCAAGAACAAGCATTGAGGGAAGTCAACAGGAGTAAACTGCTTCAAGTGCAAAAGACAAAGAGTGAACGCCATAAAAACACAATCCAGCGCAGAAGAGAAAACTGGCAAAAGAAGGCTCTCCATGGACAGTTCCTGGGAAAAATTGAGAGCCAAATTGACAAAGAAAAAACAAATTGAACTTTGAAAAAGGAGACAGAGGGCCTGATTCTGGCAGCCCAAGAACAAGCCATTAGAACCAATGCCATCAAAGACAGAATTGAAAAGTCAACGACAGATCCCAAATGCAGACTCAAGATCACATCCTCAGCTGCTGCAAGAAGATCGCACAGACAGAGTACAAGCAGAGCAATAACACCATTGCTCAGATGATTCATTGGAACTTGTTCCACAAATACCATTTGCCTGTGACAAAGAACTGCTGGGATCACAAGCCAGAAAAAGTTACAGAAAATGAACACGTCAAGCTACTTTGGGACTTCCGGATTCAGACAGACAGAGTTTTGGAGCACAAGACCTCACGATCGTGTTAAAAAACAAAGTATGGATTGTCTATGTTGCAATCCCAGGTGACAGCAGGATTGAAGAGAAACAACTGGAAAAGCTGACATGATATGAGGATTTAAAGATCGAACTGCAAAGACTCTGGCACAAGCCAGTAAAGGTGGTCCCAGTGGTGATCGGCACACTAGGTGCAGTGCCTAAAGACCTTGGCCTGCACTTAAACACAATTGGCACTGACAAAATTACTATCTGTCAGCTGCAAAAGGCCACCCTACTGGGATCTGTACGCATTTTTTGCGGATACATCACACAGTCCTAGACACTTAGAAAGTGTCCGATGATCCAATACAACAGCTAGCAGAGTGTCTGCTGTGGACTCACCTTGTGGTGTTTCAAATAATAACTTTTTATATATATTCTGCCACCATCTCAGTGAAGGGACTCGGGGCGGCTTACAAGCAGGGCCAAGCCCAGTAATAACAAGTTAACCAAAAAACACATTTAAAAACACAATGAACATATAACAACTAATTAAACAATTTAAACAGTAAAGTATACAAATTATATGGGGCCACAGTAAACTGAGGGTGGCAATTTGTACTACACAACTTTATTACTTTGACACCACTTTAGTTGCTAGAGCTCCACCTCCTGGAATCCTGGGACCTGAAATTTCATGACATATTTAGACTTCGCTGTCAGAGAGCTCTGGTGCCTCCCCAAACTACAAACCCTAGGTTACCACAGGATGCAGCCACTGCTGTTAAAATGTAATACAAGTACTATCATTGAAGTGGAATCAAATCAAACCACTTTAATGTGGAAGGGACAGCAGAGCAAACATATGGAGCATATCAATTGGAAATCATAAAGTCGTACCTCTCGAAACAGGGCACCATAGAAAGTGACAGTGAAGGGACAGTCTACCGTCCTCATGGAAATATCTAGATCCATTAGCAGCCTCTTCTGCTCCTGGCTGTTCACTGTCGCTCGGATTCGCTGGAAGACAAACCCTGTTTTAATTTTCACTCTTGTTATTCCCATTCATGGGCCACAAATGCTACAGGGAAGACGTCAACTTGGCTCCATGCACGAAGCACATTTCAGCAGATATATATATATATATATATATAAATATATATATATATATATATATATATATATATATATATATATTACATATATATATATATATATATATATATATATATATATATATATAACTCTTACAGCTCTTTTTAACCAACAGTGAAGAACAAATTACCATAACTGAGAAGTTTAAAAGCTGGAAACCTCTAAACTCAATAAAATTACAACAGCTAAAAATGGGATTGTCAGTTGCAGTTGTCCAAGTCAGCAGAGATGTGGACTTAAGGACCCCTAACTCCCAGTTGTAGTCCTGAGTGCAATGAAAGGTCTGGAGTGTGCTTGCAATCCTGTGCACACTTACCTGAGGGAAATACCCACTGAAGTCAGCAGGATTTTCTTATGAGTAGATGTACACAAGCTTAGGCTGCAAGTGTCTCATAACAGGCACCGAAAACTAGAGGCCAATGCTGTATATGCTTATGTATTTTTAAGCCTCCTTGTGCCTGGGAGAAGCGGGGATAATAATGCTTACCTACCTCACAGGCGTAATTTATGTCAGGGAAGCACTGTGAGATCCTCGGATGTGAGGTGCTATAGAAGGGCAAAGGATTATCGTTATTACAGAAGTGTTTTCTTTATCTATCACTCTTTTATCCCCCTTTCCTTTCTTTGTTCTTCTATTGTCAAAATAGTGATGGCACAACATTTGGTGGTGGGCAACTGCTGAGCAAGGCCCAGGTTTAGCAATGTATGTATCACCTGCCTCAATCCAGTGGCTCCTTAGTCTATATCAAATCATCTGTCAATCTGCAAGTGCCTGACTCCAAAGCCAGGAGTTTAGCTGCTTCCTGAATGACAGGCTTCTACAGGTAAGATCATAGCTCACCCACCTAAACCATGATTTTGCTGTTGAACTGGAAATTTAACCATGGTTAGGGGGACAAAACAGGGTTAATTTTGGGTTGTAGGTTTTTCGGGCTGTATGGTCATGTTCTAGAATCATTCTCTCCTGACGTTTCGCCTGCATCTGTGCCAGGCATCTCAGAGCTTGTGAATTGACCTCACAACCTCTGAGGATACCTGCCACAGATGCAAGCAAAATGCCAGGAGAGAATGATTCTAGAACATGGCCATATGGCCCAAAAAAACTACAACAACCCAGTGATTCCAGCCATGAAAGTCTTCGACAGTACACAGGGTTACTTTTATTCATTAAATGGAATATTTGCCCTGACTTTGGTGTCAAAGTCACTGGAATCTAGAATTAACAGCTTGTCATCATGGAGGAAAGTGGGGAAATATATGTGATCATTCTATGTTTGCTTCTTGGATTAATTATGGACTAACAATGATAACTATCATATTTGTAACTGCATATTACAGAGTAGGAACTGTTATGTTTTTGATCTACTACTGCCAGAATCTTTCCCAGCCAGAGCAATCACTGTCAAGGCTGGCTGAGGGATTCTGGGAGTCAAATTAAAAAAAAAAACCTAACTTTTTAAAGCTCTGGTATTAAGCAGCCTTCTACTTCTCACAACTTTTAAAATCAAATGAGCATCAGTTTTTCTTTGTTTTGAATATTCACTCTCAGTGGAAAAGGCCCTATCATGTTAAATTGTTTTAATTCACTCTAGTTTAATTTGAGTTGTTTTCACCAGAAATATGATAATGTTACTACATTTTTTTCTTGTTTCAAAATAGTCATTATGTAATGTACAACAACACTGTTATAAAGAAGTTCCTCTGGGATAGTATTACATATGTGCTTGCTAGTACTTAACACTATAAACACAATCACTACCAAAGAATGAAATAGGAAAATAAATTTAACTCTAATATTTTTTCTTTTTTTCCTTTTTTACTGAATAAAGGTTATTTATGTTTGTGTCTAGCTCTTTTCTCTGTAATATAAAAACAAGAATTACCATATGTTGATTGCTAACAAACATTTGAAAGCCATAATATTATAACTGAACAGACAGTAATCAATGTAACAAATCATGCATAAATACAGATTACAATTAGAAAACTGTAGTTAGGAAAAAGAAGAGAAAGGCCTGGTTTAGACAGTCACAATATTATAACTGAACAGACAGTGATCAGTTTAACAATTCATGCATAAATACAGATTGCAACTAGAAAATTGTTGTTAGGAAAAAGAAGAGAAAGGTCTGGTTTGGACAATCATATCTCTCCTATGCGTTCCACAAGAGAGGAAGACACCTGCTTCTGATTGTTACCTCTTTTCTTTCAATATACCTGAATTACAAATCAAGGTCTGAAATTTAGAATCCGGGTTTATTCCAAAACTGACTGCAATAGTTTCTTGGCTCAACTGATACGAGAAACTATGGTTAGTTAGAGACTTCTACACTGCACTTAAAGAGAGTAGGGAGACAGATGCCTCTGGCTTGCTCATGTTTTGGCTTATCTAGAGTAGGAAACATGATAGTCCAAAAAAGAGCTGAAGAGAGAAAGTATACAAACAAGATATGTAAATATATACACCTGTATATTTAACTTCTTACATCAATAGCATCAGTTCACACTAAACAAAGTGAAAACAGATGCAAATAGCCTACTGAGCTCGCCACATATAGGCTTCACTCAAAGTGGAAGAGAGAAATTCAATGTGCTCCAGGAAAAGTTACAAGGGTCATGCTAATTATTCAAGAAACCTTTGCATTAGACCAAAAATTCATATAGTCCAAGATCCCATTTCTAAGAGTTGCCTACAAAGAACTTCAAGAAACAGTTGTTAGAATTGTGGGATGGCCACATCTCTATTTCGTAAATCCAATCCTATATGAAAATCATAGCCAGCAAGGAAATAAAGGAATGCAATGAAAGATCTGGAAATATAATCTTTGAGAAGCAAGGCCACCGTATGTCATTTTGGAGATTGGTACCAGTAAATCGCAGCTTTAATTTAGATCAATTATTTTCCAACTATTTCTGTTTTATCTAATTAAGCTTGGTTCTTAAGATCATTTATTAGAAATCTGATGAATAAACTAGATCTTGCTTATCTGGAGGCAACAAGGATTCATGTTTTTTCTATGCAAGCCACCAATCCGTCTCACACCCCAGGTCAGCATCTATCAGAGTTGGTCTGTGTGAGTGTGTGAATTTGGAAGGCATTATTGCATAAAAAGAGAGAATTGTTAGTCTCACTTTACCTTCACTGCCATAATTTGCCCACTGGGCATATGTCGCATCATCTCTACCACCCCATAGGCACCACGACCAAGTTCTGATATTGGCTCAAGGTCATCAGCTTTGACTTCAAAGTTCTGTAAAGAAATAAGATCAAGAGATGGTTAGCAGAAGACCCAATGTAGTCATGTATGTAATGCAATGTGGTAACTGTGGAGTATGAAAATGCTGCTGTTCTTCTCAGACCCTCCCCCCCCCCCTTCCCCAATTCTGGCTAGGTTGTAGGACTCCTAGTTTCCACACCACCTCCATTCCCTAGACATGTTTCAATTTCCTTCCTCATCTTCCTGGTGTGAGATCATACTTCTCATGCCCTGTTTTCATAGCTAGCTTCTTCCTCGTGCAGCTTAACTTCTGTTAAAAATAGGAGACCAAATAGCAAACCCTCTCCTCTATAAGAAACTCCATAAAACACGCAGGAAAGATTGTAGAGAGCAAGAATACTCCAACAACCAGCATTTGCTGCTTCTGTGAAGATGCCTGTGAGAACTTTTCTCTGTGTGTATTTGTCTCTCTCTCCCTTATTTGGAACTAAAGGGAAACTGCCTTCCATTGAACAAAGGTACTCTGCATCAGAGATTTCTTTGATTCAGTATTGGGTCACTTGCTCCAGATGGCTCTCTTGCCGTTCCTGTCTCAAAATGTGATGGGGACGGATACAAATTCTGGCAGGCTTAGAAAATGCTAATGGGTCTAGCATACCACCAATATATTCACACATGACAGCTTAGGTGAAACAGTATTGAGAAGGGGGTCAAATAGCTGCACCACCCAGCTGCACAGGACCTCAAACTAATCTTGCAGTTCTCCTATTGGTCTGGAAAGAGAAATCATCCCTCCAAGCAATGTCATGCTTAAAGAGGCATCTTCAGAATTCAGTGTCACAAGGCACACATAAATCACCCAGTCCTACTGGATGCCCCAAAGGGAAAGACATTTACGATGAAGGTACAAACACGATTTCGTTTAGTAATCCTAATCCATGATTGAAATGACCAGACTATATGGAAATATCAAAACCATGTTAATATTGTTTGGACAGGCCTTCCCTCTATTTCATCTGGCCATATGACAAACCCTATCTGTGATTCTCAAAATGTTTTTTTTTTCTTGTCAACCCAATATACACCTGATTTTGGGTTATTCCATTTTGTAAGGGTTGCATGACATATTACAAGCTGTCATGGAAAATACAAGTGTTTCTTCAGAGACCTGTCCAATGTGGAAGTCATATACACATGTGCATATATCTTTCAACGATCAGGTTCATCTGCCAGCAAAACCTAATTAGGTCGCATATTTCCTTTCCCCACCTAATTTTCTTTTCTTGTCTAATGCTTTTTTAAAGGTAGGATGTGTTGATATGCAAGCTACTCTGGGAGACTTTCCAACTGTAGGTGTGCATTATAAAAGTTACAAATGAAGACATAAAAACACAACATATCTGAGATGTATGTTATCATGAATCTAAAGACACAATTTATCAATGTACATTACTGCCATACTTGCCCCATTTGCTATAGAAAACATTTGTGATACTCCAATGCTTCCATTAACAAAAACAATGAACAATGTTACAGTCTAATTACCGCAATCTCTAATGCTCCTGAGAATACATTTTTTTTTCTCCTTAAAAGGGTTGTTATGGCATCCTCCTTAACCAAGTGGCTAGCATTCGGAAAATCATAGATTTGGAAGGGACTTCTAGGGCCCTGCAGAAACACACAACTAAAGTAATCCATAGAGGCATCTAACCTCTATTTAAAGATCACCAAAGACTTAGCTCTTCATTCTATTAAATGAAATAAGTAGATGTTCACTGTAACATCTGCATCAACTGTAGAACACTTCCTTGTGAAGCTAGTGCACACACATTTATATGTGGGGTTGCCTTTGAAGATTATTTGAGATTGGCGGGGACGAGAGATAGGCCTTCTCAATGGTGGCTCCTCGGCTGTGAAATTCCCTCCCCAGGAATATTAGATCAGCTCCTTCCTTCCTGACCTTCCGTAAGAGAGTGAAAATGTGGCTCTGTGACCAAGCTTTTGGAGAACTTATGCAATAGATAGATATGGAATGATCTGCAATAACTACTGGAACGGCCCGGATTAGGCTTGAGGATTATGTGTTTAATGGTGAAGATATTGTCTTAAATGTTTTAAATTGTTGTAATGTATTTTTATAATTCTATTTAAATGCTTATTATAATTGTACATTGTTTTATAGTACTGAATAGTTGCCTGTGTGTAAGCTGCCTTGAGTCCCCTCCAGGGTGGAGAAAGATGGGGTAGAAATATTGTAAATAAATAAATAATATTTATTTGTCTGTTTTTTTTTCCATCCCACTTTTCTCCTAATATGGGGACTCAAGGGGACTAACAACAAGGTATGAAACACAAGGCAGTCCTGCATTATAAAGAATGTCCATTTGTGTCTTGACACCCAATGCATATCAAAGCACTTCAAATATATTTGATGAGTTAAACTCATGCAATTCTCTTAATGCATGAGAACTGGTATCCTTGCCATTTCTGTCTACTTGCAAAGAACCAACTGAGACTGCACTGTGAGTGCTGAAAATGAAAAGCCTTAGGAACAAGTCTTTCCAGCTTTATTGGTTACACCAGTGAGAGCAACACTGTTTGCAGACAGCTGCTAATGCAAGCCAGAGCTTAGCAATCAGTATACTGCCACTGAGCAACCGCTGCTATTAATATCAGTAAGCAGGTGCCACCATAGAGATGTTACATAAAAAGCTGTGCAGGCAGGGTTCAGGGTGCTGCCACAGCCTTCCACGGAAAAGCAACACGCCTTGTAATCTGGGTTATTACTTGGAGGAGCAGTAGGAGTCACCACAGAACAAGTCAATCTAATTTTTCCAAGTACATAGGCCTTCCTGTTAAATTTGTAACTGGGTTTATTTGGGGTTTTTTTGGGCAAAATAGAAAGAGAGGGGATCTGCATCAGGTTGGAAGGAATACTGCAGTCAGAGGATACCCAAATATTTTGTTTGAATGTTTTTTGATGTTTTACTTTGAACTCTATATTCTGACTTTTGTTGTATTTGGAATTTGAGATGGAACAGGGGAATGAGGGGAAAAACTATTCCTGTGACAATTGGATTTTGAAAAATTTGGCTTGTTGTAGAAACAAAGATTTGGGATCAATCTCCAGTGGAGAAACCTTATCTTAAGTTGAGGTTCCACTGTACCATTCTGTGAGTACAGTTATATGAAACAAGGAAGTCGTGATTGTGGAAATCAATTCAAGAATATGTCCTCAGAAAGGGAAGGAAAGTGACTGTAGGAACATCACCGTTCATAGACAGCAGGCAACAGCCAAAGCCGGAGTGGGCAAAGTGTAGTTTGTAGGCTTCACATAGAGCTCTAAGCCTAGTTTCACATTACTCCCACCCCTAATTTTTTAACCCAAAGTGGCCCACTGTGTACTCAAAGGCCTCTAGGAAACACAACTGGCCGTTCTGGGTCATGAGGAAGCCAGACTTAAGTTACAGGGGGCCAAAATGGCAGTCACTTCCATTTTGGGTTTTGTTTTTTTAAAGCTTATCTGAGGTTTTTTTTAAAGGGGGGTTTGATCATGAAAACAATCACCTGTTTAGCCATCTCCTGTTAAGACTCTTCTGGGATTGCAATCAACCATTTTGAGAAAGACAGAATGGAGGTAGGCATGGGGAAAATGAATATCACAGATGCAGGTCAAATACAACCCCCAAAGCTCCAGGGACACTGGCATATTCCCCCCATTCTTGGAAACTGAACAGATAAATATGCAGTTGCATCAAGGTAAGATTCCCACATATCTCTTAATATTATCCCGTTATCTTGAAACAGCAAGTAATGGCGAAGAAAACACACACTACATACATACACTCATTAAGCAGAGGTAAAAGGATATCTGAAAAGGACCCTGTGTCCCTCAGAATGCTAAATTCTTTTAAACATTGGTTTTAATAGATGAACAGATAAAGGTGTGATTACTGAAGGAGAAAAGGGCAAATGACTTCTGTCCAATAATACGACTGCCAAGTGACCCTGAATCTACTACTTTCTCCTTCTTTGATATACAAAAAGTATTTTATTATCACTGTACCTTATCACCAATATTGATGCAAGCTTTGGAGTCCAAATCTCGAGGTGGTCTAAAGTACAGAAAAAGTCAGAACAAGACAATAATTAAATAATTCACAGTTCCTGTCCAAAAAATATTTTCATTGGATGACATTGTATTTAAATTCCTCCTCTCTCCCACAATGGAATCCAAAGGGTCATTATATAGGGGGTTTTGTATACAGTAACCCATCCAGACTGAACCCAACTTGTTTAGAATAAAGTTGTTTGTTGTATTGGATGTCTTCTTCAGATTATGCACTGAGACCAAGTATGAAAAGAGGGTTCGAAATTTCACACATCTGCATGAAACTCATAATGTGTGGATATACACACCAACAGAAATGTAGAGTTGCCAACTTTTTAAATATACCTTTGTTTGGGAGTAAGTGAAACTTTCAATCTGTTGGCAAGCCAACAATACTTCCAAAGGCTTACCTCCAGGAATACAGGGTTTCTAACATTTTAAACCAGCTTGTTGCTAAGGAATGTCTCCCAGTTTCATAATGTATATAATGTATATAGTTGAAATTCTCACCTTCTCAAACTTCTTCAACCATTTTCAAAAAGTAAAGTTCTGACAAAAGTCAAGGACTCCAAGTTAATTACAGATATAAGAGCTGGCAGTAAACAGGAGTGGATGTGGGTGGGCCTTGTTACTGGATGAATGGTTCTGTAGAATTCTCCTCTTGTCTTATTGTTACCTCCCAGAACACAATAAAGTCCTCAAAATGGGGAGAGCTCCATAGAAATGATAACCAATGTTCACAGTGTTTGCTAAAATTTTCCTTGTTAACATTCTGGACAACATTTCAGAATTCGTGACATCGCCGAAAAACATCTTCTTCCTCCCACTTCCAGCAAAAGAACCACTGTTCCTACGTCGTTATCTTTGACTTTCTGTTTTACTCTAGTGGGAAGCAGTGGTTCTCTAATGAGAGCTTCTTATAATACTATTAGTGTAATCATACATAAATGCTTTGAATTTAGGTCTGGAGTACATGTCAGCCCATCCCAAGTCCTTGAAGCACTTTAGCACAACCAATGTTGCTGCACACCGCACTTTTAATCCTACGTTCCTCCTGCCATCTCAGCACTTTTACCCTGTACCCCATTGCGCCGGCCGAACCAGTTTTAATAGTGTCTTGATGTAGTGATGTATCGTCATTGTTGTTATTTTGCTTAATTGTTGATTTGCTTTGTTTATTGTTGTGTTATGTTTTCTATTGTATTGTGTTTTGAGGCTTCGGCCTGTGTAAGCCGCATCGAGTCCTTCGGGAGATGCTAGCGGGGTACAAATAAAGTTAATAATAATAATAATAATAATAATAATAATAATAATTAAACTCACTTTTCTGTGGTTTAAGTTACCCATGGTCACCACAACCAAGACAACAGAAGACTTTATAGGCATCTCTCCATTCTCTAGTGCTATTCTATGGTATGCTTGGGTCAGACACTGACTTACCACCTTTCCCTTGTTACACAAATATCTATTGCAGAAGTGACTAGGGGACATTTGGAAGAAAATTGGTTCCCTCACACTCTGTGGAACAGCAGATAAGTGGGGTGGGAAAACTATTAGGGAGCCATGTGGAGAGCTGTTTCAGGTCTGCCTTACTTCTATCATATCTGTTTAAGGATTCAATTGTAGTCCCAAAATGCAGGTTTTGTTACTATCCAAGGTTTTGGGCTTCCAAGGGAGTATCCTGGAACTTATCCCCTGGCCCGAAAAAGGGATCTTACTGCATTTCATCAGTGATTCAAAATCATGGCTGATTTTGCTTGGGAAGCACTCCCCTGGTGGCCACTGATCTTCTTTCCTGCTCAGTCTGGAAAGGAAAAGGGTCTCTGCATTGATGATGCTCCACTAAGCTCTCACTGAAATCAATCAGTGAAGTCAGTCACCAGAGCAAGTCTTTAACTATATGATTTTTAATGCAACATCTCTACATCTGACAATTGTTGCTAGGTACTGCACTGTTCTGTCAGCAAGCAAATGCATTTAAGCAAAACATAGCAGAGACCAAGATGGATTCAGAATAATACATTCTGGAGGGATGTTCTATGAAATAAATTGTTTACACTACATCCACTGGCCTTTTCTAGTTTAGGTGATTCTATAGATCCACGTGTGAACTATTATGTGTATGAAGGACTTTGCCAAGAGAGGGGGGAGGTTGTGGGTAGAACACCTACTGCAGTCTTTCATGATACCACAAACTCCATCTTATGGATATCTAGAGACCTCATTGCAAGGAGGTCAAGAAACTGGGGGACAGCAGGGAAAACCATGGGACAGTGTAAGGCTTTGTTCCCTTACCATCAGTGGTCATGGAATCAAATCCCATGATGTTTATGTGCTGTCCCTGGCTTCCTGCTGCATCCTCTCCAGCTTCTTGAATGAGGAGTCAGGTGTACACACGACTCCTCTGAGCTCCACTTCTCTGCGCTGCCAGCACGCTGCTGGCACAGAGTCCAAAGGAGCCCCACCAGAAGTAGGCCTACATCATTTGATGGGCTCAAGAGGACTCTATGTCAGCAATGTGCACATCATTGAGGAGAAGGCATCTTGACCCATATTTACAGTAGGTCAATATCCCAGGAACCAGATGGACAACAAAGAAAGCTCTCTTACTGTAACACTGACCTGTGATACATATTTCAGCTTATCCTACTTTATACAGTTGACCGGAATTACTAGTAAATGTGTGTATCTCTAGAAAAAGAGCAATCGGAGGCATCTCAAGCTTTCTGCTACTCTGATCCATTGCACTTTATTCCACTGCAGCCAATCACTTACATACTCCATACTATAGGAAGAAATACGAGTTGATGTTTATCCAACTATATTAATCAGGTCCCCTAAGTGGCAACTTCCTCTGAAAACACAAAAGATCATATTTATTGGGACCAATGACATTTCTGTTTTTAGTTTACAAAAGGACAGCCAGTAAACTAGACTTTCTTAAGGTATCTAACGAGGAAGAACAAAGCAACAGAAGATTACATGATGCAGTAGAAAGCAAATAAACATAGGTAACCCTGAGTAAGATCCAGATCTTTTCTCTAAATACAAAATGCCCTCCTATTTATAGGCAGCCTGGAAGAGACTTGATTTATCTAATCCATGACAGAAATAGCTGTGACTAAGTGAGCAATGCTCAGCTTTGCCATAAATCCCATCTTTATAGTAGGGCATAAAGAATCAGTCATTCTCTTTTTTAAGGACTGCTCACCTTTTGTCTGGCACAGAAACCACTACAAATGAGATTTTACCTGGGGAAATCCAATGCTTTTTTTGTTTTAAGTGTGTGGCATATATGTGGACTTGGTAAATCTCATTTAAAACTTACATATATATAGTGATTTCGGTGCCAGATAGACCACTTAATGTTACTTTTTTAAATTAACCTACACACTTTCTGAACTAGTACTTCCACAAACCTTTTTTTCTGGCAGAGAGGTCTACTTCCTTTTCATTGAACACTTGTTTAGTTTGTTCTTGAGATTGGAACGGTGGAAAGAAGAATCTCCCTGTTCCTCCCAACCAATGGGCGAAAACTCCTTTTTCAGAGCTGGGTTCTTGAAATTGTATTCTATTCTGATATTTCCACTATTCTTCCACTTTTGATACTCTTTCCTAGCCTAAATAATAATTCTACACTCAAGAAATATTGTCTCAATCCGAGTTACTCCTCTATTATGGCCATATTTAATTTCCATTGATGTGTCTAAGTATAGGGCGCAATAATGTTGCAGACACAAGATAATACAAGAAAAGCTATCTGAAAGATCAAAGATAAAAGTCACAAACAGAGGAGGGAGAAGAGAAATTGCTTTCCATAAGAAATATAAAGGAGTATCTTATCATGTGCTTCTACTAACTGCAATAGCAGCCTTGAGTTCCTGGTGAAAATCAAGTTTCTTTTCATTGATAGGAGAGCTCTGTTGTCTGTTGCACAAAGAGGAGAAGGGTGGAGGCATTACAAATGTTTAGCCTTGAGGTCTGCAGTCAAAGAGGCACCACTAGCTAAAACACACCCTTTCTGAGAGAGAAAAAAATGCTGCAAACATGGTACTTGAGAGTGAAAACAGTCAGTTGATGCCCAAATGTAGTGCCAGATAGAAGTAATGAGTCAGAATGGCTTGCCCCACATAAACCACTTTTAGCTTAAAGACAATGAAGAAAGCCAAGAGTCTCTTGCATCACTGCCTGAATGGTTATGAGGCCCTTATATAACAAAAAATCCAGGAAATTTCAAAGACCTAAGTCACTCTTGCTTAGGTAGAAATCTTAGCAGAGATAACTTTAGCTGAAAGCAGTATGGCTTAATTCCACTGGAAAGAGTACCCGCAATGGTTAAATTCCAAAACTCTTCTCCCCTGCCCCCAATGGATACCTGAAGTTGTAGATAATAATGAAACACATATTTTGACTGTACTTGGAAGCACATCATAAGCAGCACATCAGGACCTAGAAAGGACTACAAACACTCCCAAAATGGAATATATTTGGCACATGGCTAAGTGAAATCAAGGTTATTGAAATCATGGATGGGAGGAGTGGTACTGTATTTTCTAGTCATTTGTGACTGAGCACTAACTGAAAAGACAACAGCTAAGTGACAAACAAATTCACTTCTCCATCAATGTGTTCTGCAGTTCACATGAAGTCCTACTAGGTGCCATCCCTTGTTCCCACCCGGATATCTACAAAAATGCAGCCATACCGGGTTGTCTGGTGACTATCTTGAGAAAAGGGGCAACAGGTATATGATATACAATCAATCAATTTAAAAAAACTGTAGTTATGTTCAAGATCCCAGGATCAAGCAAATATTCCAGCACAAATTGTGATCCCTCACCCTCCCCCACCCCTAAAAAAAATTAAAGGACTTGCCTTGCAATGCTATCCTGGGTTACTTGAAATATATACTCAAGTCTAACATAGAAAAAGTCTCTTAAAAGTCTGGAGGGAATACAAAGTGGTTTCTATAAATTTTGGGCATCATTGGGTAGAATTTATTCATCAACGTCCCATCTTTTCTACAGACCTAGATGCATTCACAAATTGGCCATGTACAAGATGTACAGGTTTGCACTATTAATAACAAGTCTTTAATAATAACTGTTAACATCATTTCAAATACAATATAGGAAGTAGTAATTTTTCAACAGGGCTACTGCTGACTAGTCAGAAAAAATGGAAACGCAACTTACTAGAAGGTAAACAAACGCCTCCCCCCACCCCACCCCAAAGGAAACTGGCAACACCCGCTTTTCACTCCTCTGGTGCTGTGCTCTACCTTCCTTTAGAACTGATTCTGATTGGACACATCACTGCCCATCACTGGAAAATTTAAGAAAAAATATCAATAGGTTCTGATAGATACGCAATAGTTGGATCTTCATGGCTCCCATCCCAGCCTCAAACCAGTTCATGGGATGCTTGTGGACATACTCTGCAATGAACTGGTTCTCTTTCACCCACACCCTGGCTCAGTTTAAATGGTTATGTAGAACCACCCAGAATAGTACGTCAGTTACTGAATGTTACATCCTTGCAATTCCAGAGAAAATATGAACACTCAATAATTTCCTCACCACAGCACTTCCTTGAATGAGTGATTTGCCATGACAAAGTCAAATACATGCACAATCCCTTTCTTTCTACAGTGGCTTCAACCACATGCCCACTTGCTGGGTAGCCAGTACCCCAACTTCTCTGACAAACAAGCAACACATAGGTCCCCATGCCTATGGTTTTCTCCATTGCAATGGAAAACTTCTGCTGAAGGAATCTTGCCAAGAAAATCCTATGATAGGCTTACTGTAGGGTTGCAATATGTCAGAAAACACACAAGAACAAAAAGAGAGTACAAGTTCATTTCCAGCAAGAGAAGAGCCTGAGATTCCTTGTCTATTTCCACAGCATCCTGAGATAATCCTGTTCATCTCCTGAACTTTCCATCTTGTGCCGCAGGTCTCAAGGGATGAAAACTGACAACCACAAATTATGACTTACTAGTTAGTGAAAACAATGTTTGAGGGATCAACCACTCATCCTCCCACACAGTTCTGATCCACAACATGAGAATAAAAGATATACATACGTAGAGCTCGTCTGTGGTTGTTCAAATGCTTCTTTAGGAATTCTCAGCCCTGGATTTTTCTTCCTGCCTGTGGATAGGGGAATACAAAAATATTTAGAATTACAGGCAGTCCCTGAGTTACAAACATCCATCTTACAAACAATGCACAGTTAAGAACGGGAGTGAGACAACAGGAAGTGATAGAAATCAATCCCTCGGAAGGGAAATTCACTTCTGGAAGAGTTCACATGAGAATAGGTGTCTCAACTGGAACTTTATCCCCAATCCGGTGGTGACCAGGGGAGCATTTGCACAGCTTAGGCTCGTGCGCCAGCTGCGCCCGTACCTTGGGAAGTCAGACTTGGCCACGGTAGTCCACGCTCTGGTTACATCCCGCTTAGACTACTGCAATGCTCTCTATGTGGGGTTGCCTTTGAAGACGGCCCGAAAGCTCCAACTGGTCCAACGTGCGGCAGCCATGATACTACCAGGAGCGGGACGCAGGGAGCATACAACTCCCTTGCTGTACCAGCTCCACTGGCTGCCGATCTGCTACTGGGCTCAATTCAAGGTGCTGCCGTTGGCTTATAAAGTCCTAAACGGTTCCGGCCCAAGATACCTATCCGACCGCATCTTGGCCTATGAGCCCACCAGGACTTTGAGATCTTCCGGGGAGGCCCTGCTCTCAATCCCGCCTGCCTCACAGGCACGACTGGCGGGGACGAGAGATAGGTCCTTCTCGGTGGTGGCTCCTCGGCTGTGGAGCACCCTTCCCGTGGACATCAAGCTAGCCCCCTCCCTGTTGATATTCCGCAGGAAGTTAAAGACCTGGCTATTTAAGAAGGTATTTGATCAAGAAGTGCAATGACTGGTAATTTGACCATAGGAATGGAACAACGGAAATGATATCGGATTGTGGGTTGACGATGAGACGATTCGGAATGTAGTAGAAATTTTGTAGTAATGTTGATGTTTTGATAAGATGTTTTTCTGATAATGATGAATTGTGGATTATTTTGCACTATGTTTTGTAATTTGCACTTGTTCTTTCATGTTGTACACCGCAATGAGTCACCCTTGGGCTGAGAATTGCGGTGTACAAGCACAGTAAATAAATAAATAAATAAATAATAAATAAATCCTTGTTTCCACAGTAAGTCATTTTTTTCAAAATCCAATTATCACAGGGACAGAAAGTGAGGGGATTTTTTTTGCACGAACTGCAAAACAAACACCATTGCAGGAGTATTAACCCTTCCCTATGTCATCCAAAGCTAAAAGATAAATAGTTTTGGCTGGAGTTACACTTTAAAATGTACCTGTTCTGACTTACAATCAAATTTAACTGAAGAACAAACCTACAGAAGCTATCTTGTTCATAACTTGAGGATTTCCTGTACTTCTCACTAAACACAGGTCATATCTTGGAAGACAGAGCTTGTGTGAATTATCCATGGACGGTGAGCACTGGACGGTGAGCACTGCACAGAATTCAAGTTTCTCTGTTAATATTCAGTTGATTCCTCAGGTTCCTCTAATTGATATGGACACCAATTAGCACGTCTCAGTAGTCTATACAATATAGCACAGCGATCTGCTTCCTGGTATGACCGCTTTGACTTTAAAATATTTTTTAAAAAGTTTTACAAGATTTTAAAAATGTTTCTATATTTACAAGACATGAAGGGGAAACTTTTAGAACATGTGCAGATGAGGGTCTATTTGGAATACATGTCACAAATAAATACATAAATAATTAAACCAAAATAAATACCAGAACCGGTTTTCTAATCAAGATTGCTTTTCTATGGGAACCAGTTGTTCTGGACATCTCTGTCCTAACTCTGAACTTTTTAATACCACAGTGCATGTTGCTTTTTGAGTGTCAACTCCCAACAACCTCAATTAAGGGGGTGGGAGACTGGCTACACCTGCTAGCTACTGCAAAAGAGAGGGTGACATCTTACAAAGCAGAGAAAATGAATACAACTAGACAAATAAATGTTTTATTTCTTTTATAAAATGTGTCTAAATTGCCTTGAACTGACTGGTAGGTGACACAGAAATAACTATCAAACTAAATTAAAAAACTAACATACCTTTCATGGAGTAAGAGTGAAATGTGCCACTTTCATTTACAAAAAAATTGACCCACATTATTGCAGTAGAATAACAATAAAGCACGAGTCTTATGCAACCTCATTTAGCACAGCAATCACAATGAAAACAAGTCCCTCAGTTGTGTTTTACGTGCATGAAAAAATGTGCTTTGGCTGTTTGGAAAAATATACTGTGCTCACAACAGACGGTCCACCTTGAGGCTACACATACAAATTGCAACTACTAAAACAGATCTACACAAAGCATGAAAATATTTGTGCTGAAAGGCATCTAGAGTTCATGGTCTGCCTACTTCATGGTCTACTTCATGGTCTGCCTACTTCATTTGTTCACCTGTCCCAAAATGCAGCTCATTCATATGCTCCTTGGTGATATATTAGCACCCAATTTTTGATATGTGACACAGTACTGTTCCACAAGAGGAGAAGAAAGAGAAGACCAGGACGTATTTCTTTCAATGTTCCAATCTCAGTTCAAATCATACATTATCATTTGGCAGGCCAATCTCTCCTAAACCGGCGTCGTATGTAATGTTGGTGGTCATGGTGTAGAGAAACAACATAAAGATCTGAATCAATTATCATGTAAGGGCTTCTGGAAAGGATTCCACGAACTTTAAATGTCTTCAAGATGGTCTTCACAACATGGCCATCACATGTATCATTTTCTTAACTCAATCTCTGCCCTCAAAATGAGCAAATAATGGATACAGTGTTGGATTTATTATCTGTCTGTCTGTCTGTCTATCTATCTATCTAAAACATTGATATTCCGCCTTTCTCACCCCGAAGGGGACTCAGGGCGGAGCACAACATACAAACGGCAAACATTCAATGCCGAGACATGAATTCATTATATGCATACGTAAACATTTATCTCATCAATAAAAGACACTGTTTAAAACTGTCCCAATCATCTGCATGAAATCGAATCACCTTGGTAAGGTATACTATCGCTGCTTCATTGCACTGCCCCGAAAACTTGGCTCTGGGACCAAGCTTGGTCCCACAGCCAAGTTTTTACCATCCTTCTGAAGGACAGGAGGGAGCGGACTGATCTAATCTCAGCAGGAAGGGAGTTTCATTGCCCGGGAAGGGGGGGGGGGATCACCAAGAAGGCACTCTCTCTCATCCCCACCAATCGTGCCTGTGACAATGGTGGAACGGAGAGCAGGACCTCCTCAGAGGATTTACCATGTGCTTAAGCACAGAGAATCGTCCTGCCTCCCAAAAACACTAGATAGTTTGCTCGTGTGCTACAACAGGTGTTCTGTTTTGGAATGATTCAAGACACAATGATAGAGTTGATAGTCTATGGGAGTGTGCCACAAAACCGGGAGTGTACATCTACTGGGTTGACCTCCTTCAAGGCCCAAGGAAGTAGCCTCATAAATTAACTGGCACAAGGGCCTCATTTGAATAGATATCTTATAACTGCAAGCTGGCAAATGGGAACTAACTTATTAAGTTAATGTAGATTTGTCAAAGGCTTTCATGGCTGGAATCACTAGGTTCTTGTAGGTTTTTTCGGGCTATAGGGCCATGTTCTAGAGGCATTTCTCCTGATGTTTCGCCTGCATCTATGGCAAGCATCCTCAGAGGTAGTGAGGTCTGTTGGAAATCAGGAGAAATGCCTCTAGAACATGGCCCTATAGCCCGAAAAAACCTACAAGAACTTAATGTAGATTGTTCTTTAACACAGTAGTCATGTAATTGTAATTAGTAGAGAACTCTTTATTTTTCATTATTATATGTAGCTTACTTTCTATGTGATTTTACAGTATCAATAATACAAATATTGCTTAGAAATGAATAAATGTCTATAATGAGGGAAACATGAAAATTCCACACAATTTTCCTTTCCTGCTTCTGCAAAGATGATTAGCGATGGGATGGATTTTTTTTTTCTCCACCCAATTTCCTCAATTTTCTGTTTGTTGCATTTTTTCCAGGCCTCCACCTTTAGGGACAACCAGAGGTCAGGGACAATATGTGCAGGAAAGAGATTAGACACATGTCGCATGTATGCATCCTTAGATCATCATCACTGTGATTTTATTTTGAACAACACTGGGGAAAAACTGGAAAGGGGGATTCCTGCAATATCTTTTCAAAGGTATTAGCTTTATGGTTTATAAATAAGTTTGAAATTATGGAAAATCCAGTGTTGCCTTAGGCTTCTATTGCTTAATTAATGAATATTCTATGTATGTGTGTTTAAATGTTTCTGCCATATATAATCTTTAGCTTCCAGCTACTGCAATACGTCTTACTGGGAAAAACGATGGTGCTACTCTATGAAAACAGATCTCTTCCCTGAGAACTATAGGTGGCCAAGGAAAATTGGATAAAGTATATAAGGAAAAAGAAGTTCTCAATGAGAAAACAAAATGCACACACGACTCGTCATTCACTGCAACAGGAACAAGAAGGAATGGAATGCAAGGAAATCTACGTTAAGTGGCCACAAAAAGATAAGTTTCTGTCAATTTTTCATGCACGAAGTTCCTAGATTATAAAAGTATGATGAAAAAAGGATGGGACATAACAAAATAAGTAGCAATATAAAAATCTGGAAATGCAGAAAGTACAGGGGAAAAATATCTAACTTGAGAGGGGAATAGACAGTGGGTGTAAAATTGCAATGCTGGCAGCTTTTGTACACTTTCCTCTGCACAGCCTTTGGAAAAAAATTGGTGTGAGTAAACCTATGATCCCAGCCTAAATACACAAACATCATCAGATTCCATCTGATTCTGGAAACAGCTCTTGTTAGTGTAGTCTGAATATTCCTCATCCAAAATTTTGTAATAAGGAATGCGCCCAAATCCAAAACTTTTAGGAGCTACAAGTATACTTGAACAGTATTTGGAAGACTGAAGAGATGTGTGGCAAGAATCCATACCTCCCATTATTTCATACGTGCTCACATTTATGTCTAGCCAAACGCATTAGGAGAGCCACCACA